GAGGGAAGGAGAGAGGGAAGGGGAGGAGAAGGGGAGGAGATGGAGAGGAGATGGGGAGAAGATGGGGAGATGGGAATGGGGGCAGGTAGGAGAGGTAGCGGTCGCCGGAGCCGAGGGTGACCTTTGAGGTACCCAGCACAGCGGGGCATGAGGTGGGGTTGGCAATGATGTTGCGATGCGTCAGCATCACTCCCTTGAGATCGCCCTGGTGGATGAAGGAGGGAGAAGAGGAGGAGAAAGGGGAGGAAGGAGATGGGGAGAATATGTTTTGCACATGTGTGCGTGCGCATATGTGTGCCTGGATAAGCATGTGCTACCCCCAGTAACATCACAGTACGCCTTCGTCGCTGCCGATACTCACAGTGGTCCCACAGGTGTGCATGAACACAGTGCACGCCCGCTGCCAACACTTAGAGGTGTGCATGAACACAGTGCACGCCCGCTGCCTCTCACCCTAAACAGCTCCAACCACCCCGCCCACGTCTGTCCTGATGGCAACTCACGGTGGTGCCAGATGTGTACATGAGTACAGCCAGATCCTCAGGCTTGGGGGGGATGTGCTCCTGAGGGTTCTGAGCGCCCCACTCCTCCACCTGCGAGAACGGAATCAGCTTCACGCCTGCTGCCTCTGCTGCCTGTCTGTCAGCGTCACTGGGCGCCTGCCCGCCCCCCTGCATGTATATCACATTCTTCACCGCTGGGGCTGACGGCAGCGCCTTGAAGAGCGACGAGAGAGTCTGCAGGAAGGGAGCAATAGAGGGGAAGAGAGGAGAAGAGAGTCAGTAGAGAGGTGAGGGAGAGAAAAAGGAAGAGAGGAAAGAAGGGGGAGAGGGGAGGCAGATGGGAAGGGTGGAGGCAAGCAATGCTTAGGAGGACAATTGCATCCACCCATACACCCACCTACCCACCGAGCCATCGACACTCACACACACACAACACACACATCCCCACTCTCACCTCGACACAGCACACCACCTCACACCACCGCTCACCACCGCTCACCTCCACGCTGCACACCACAGCCACCATCTCAGAGTGATTCACCACGTGGGTCACCGCCTCCTGGCCCAGTGTGGCGTACCTGGGAGGGAGGGGTGCAGAGGGGTGCAGAGGTGGGGAGGGAGGTGTGGAAGGTGCGGAGGTGCGGAGGGGTGCGAAGATGTGAAGGGATCAAGAGGTGGGGAGGTGGAAGAGTTGTATGGAAGAGTATACTCTCAAATAACCTTCGCTATACTCACATCGCCCCTTCAACGTACTTCACCCTTCACTTTACTCACAACACCCCTTCACCATACTCACAGTGACACGTTGACAAGCCCGTAGCAGTAACCTCCCAGCTCTGCCAGCACCCACTCCGCATTGTTCACACTGTAGATGCCGAACCTGTCACCGGGCTTCAGCCCCAGGTACACCAGCCCCGCACCGAAGTCGGAGGCTCGGCGTGCCGTGAGCTCATAGCTCTCCCAGGAGAAACCATCACCGGTTCGGGTGCCCAGGCAGGGGTTCTGTTGTGGAAAGGGCAGGTGGGAAGTGGGGGGATGGGAGGATGAGGAATGGGAAATGAAGGGGGGAAGAGATCTCAGCTGGTATGTGGCATGACATGGCATGGCATGGCATGGCATATGATGGCCGGCATCGCCTGGACTCAGCAGGGTGGCACGGGCCTCACATCAGCGAAGGCCTGAGCAGACAGGAATGGCACGGCAACGCCCGGCACTCACATCTGCGAACCTCTGGCGAGCAAAGGTGAAGAAGTTGTGATAGCATGTAGAGGCCTCGTCATAAGACACAACCATCTGAGACATGCACACGGACAAACACATGTTCACAGACAGACAGGCGGGAATAAATAGTTGGGGCAGAGGGCAGTGGGAAAGAATGAAAGGAAGCTTATAGCATGGAACTCCGGTGCTTGGCAGCGCGTGGCATGGCATGGCATGGAAAGTCATAGCATCATAGCAAAGGCGGGACATAGTATGGAATGACACGGTTGAGACAGTGGTGACCACGTGATCCGCAATCGCAATGCAAATTATGTCATCATGAAGACATTGCTACCCATTCACTTGATCCATGTCCTTGTCGACAGCAGCAAAGCTCCCACTCACAAGCTCATTTCCAGGAAGGTTCTTCCTGCGCCACACGGCCTCTTCCCCTGGCAGAAGCATCTGCAAGGGAACAAGCATGTGGATAGATAGTTGCATGTGAAGGACTGAATGAAATGAACGTGAACTGCATGTGAGGGTTTGCATGAGAATGCACGTGAACTGCCAAGATGTGAAGGATTGAAAGAGAACTACATGTGGAATGGACTGCATGTGAAGGATTGAAAGAGAACTACATGTGGAATGGACTGCATGTGAAGGATTGAAAGAGAACTACATGTGGAATGCACTGCATGAGAAGGACTGCACGACCATGCACATGGACTGCTCGTGATGTGAAGGATTGCATGGAACATTGCATGCAATCACAAACCACAGAATGGTCTAACATCCCAGAACGGCCTTCTTTTCGGCCATGACTTCAACGATTCAGAAGCAGTCCTCCGTCGGCAAGAAGGAACTCACCGATTGCTCTTTGAGACGGTTCAACTTGGCGTGGCGCACGACGACGTTGTGGAGCCCCAATACCGCTGCGACCACCGCGCCGATCAGCGTCTCCTTGAGATCCTTGAAGCGAATCACGCTCTGGACCTTAGAGAGCGGACACGTGGAGAGCGCCTGTTGGCCGGGGAGATAGGGGTGAGGGTAACAGTTTAAAGGAGACAAGAGCGTGACAAGGTACTATGTTCTAGTACGTCTCGAGCTTGAAGCCGCGATTAGGGTAATTATTGAGCTGCTTCCAGGTGACGTAAAACTTATGGTTGATAATCGTGAGATGTTCCAGTTAGCTGGCTGATAGAGCTTCCAAGGTTTGGTATCGGATGCTGGAAGTGCCTGGTGGAAACTAAACAGATTATTCGCTTGTGAGTGGATCTGTGTTGTTACTACATGTAATTAAAGCACAATCACATACGAGGAGAGAAAGGATTATGTCGGAATTAACGACAGCCTCGCGATTGAAAACGAAAAGCTCCGTCGCACGAAGCAGAGAAGGGAGTGCCAATTTCTGCGTGATCGCTGCCCATGCTGCAATTCCCGCCACCTTTCCCACGGATATGCCGTTTTCTTTTTCCGCCATGGAAGTAAATTATGCTCCACAACCAGCAAGTGCTGCCAGGAAGTGTGAGCAGCGCCTACTGGCAAAACGTCTTCCTCGATCAGCTAGCACTCACTGCTGATCTGAAGCAATCGGAAAATGGATTTACAATTCCATAGGAATAGCACTTGATCAAAATGCGTGCCGCTGGGACAGAACAGAACTGGGGGAGAGCATTTTGTTCCGATTCCTTGAGAATGTTGCGCGAATCTCGTCTGATCCAAAAGAAGCGGCTACGATGCAATGATGCTGGTCGCTGAACGGCAGCGATTGGCCAACGGTTGCGACGCATTGTCACTTTCGAGGGGGATGGGTTGGCAGACACATCTAATCGCCATGTATGTGGGGCGTAGTTGCCGACGTGCTGACGAGGTCCTCCCATATTTTTGGAGGTCATGAAGTAACAAAGGTTACGTAACAGCTTGGAACCAACAATAGTTCGCCTGGTTTCGCATTCAACCGTGCCTCGGTTCACCCACTGCTTCATTCGCGAACACAAATTATATTATGGTATAGAAATGGAATAAGACTTATATAATGAAGCTCACGGCATCTCACTGAACCGTAGTGTGTTGAGCTTTTCGTGACGCCCTATCCCATTCCCAAAAGGTCGTGAACCACCACCGTTCCTGCCTCATTCCAAGGCAAACTATTTCACCTTGCAACGTCTGCGACACTTCCACTCCCAGCCTCAGCCTGCCTTCTGCTGCGCTGTTTCCGACCATCACGCGTTATCTACTCACTGAGCAGTTATTTTTATTAAAGCTCGCGTCTCAGATTTCCAACCTTTTAACACTTGGTTGGGTTTTCCCGTCTGTGATTGGGTAACGAATGACGAATTATTTGACGAGTGGGTGAAAAAAACACAGCGAACTCCCAAACAGTCGAGGACAAAACAAACCAGGGTGGGTTGGTTTGGGTGGAAAACGAGCCAAGGGGGACAGGTTTGGTCCCGGGTTCTGTCAACGTTGAGTTCAGAGTCTCATATTTTCGAGAGTTGTTAACACTTGGTGTGCACGGGGAAGTGTGCGACAGCCAACTTTCCCAAACCACCCCTTGCTTTGGTGTGCTTTGCGACAAACTCTGCTGTTACCGGATTCCAACCGTTTAACACTTGGTTGGATGGCAGAAATATGAGACGCGAGCTTTAATGCAACGGTCATTTTTCTTGATCAGAACAGCCGGTGCTACCAACGCGGTTGTCGTGAAGCCGTTCTTTTGTATCATCCCAACCATCGATCGCCCTAAATGCCGAAGTCTCGCCGCAGGAAGCGGCGGTGCATACGGAGGATCGAAGGGAGCGAACGTTTGGCGGGCGGGGAAGCGAATCACAGCCGTCCGTAGCACCGTGAACAACGGCGTCGAATCACAGCCGTCCGTAGCACCGTGAACAACGGCGTCGAAAGCATCACATGCAGAAGCAGCAATGCAGAAAATTCCGAACCGCTGTCGCAGCTTCCCGATTGGTCGGGAATTACCTACACGCGGCTTCAGCTACGTCCAGAGCCACAATTACCGCCACGTGTCGAGCACCTATTGGTGGAACGAGAAGGCAGGGTTGTGGATGTGGTGGCTGATTCAATCAACCTTCCGACAGAGTAAGTCGGCACGATGAGCATGAATCATGAAGCATGAAGCATCAAGCAGCAAAACTACGTTGAGCATAGCCGACATTTGAGCTGATCAGCATCAATTCGCTCTGTTTCTTTTGCCGATTTGACCCTATCTTCAACAATTTCCTATGCTGAATTCCATGTGCTTTGCCTCCCACCTAATCATTCAGATACGTCACAGATTTGATGCGATTCGGTGGGATCTACCACTCCCAGATACCACCTCCCCCACCTCCGAACCTCCCTCCAGAGGCCCTTCAAGCCTACCTTGATTTCATTGCCCAGCACCCCACTAGCCTCTCCTCCTCCCCCTCCTCCCCATCCTCCTCCCCCTCCTCCCCCTCCACCCCGTCCTCCTCCTCCCCGTCCTCCTCCTCCTCCCATCAACAAAAGGTCACACTGGCGGAATTGCAGAAAGTTAGAAGGGTGGAGGTGGGGGGAGTGCGGGGAAGAGGCGTTGGGCAGAAGGAGAAGAGGCAAAGGGAGAGGTCTCGAGACAAGGTGGGGAAGAAGGGCTCGGGGAGTGGGAGTGATTTGAGGGGCAAGAGGGACGGGAGGGATGGTAGAGGCGAGGAGAATTATCAGCAGCAGAGACAGAAGCAGAAGGAGGCAGAGGGGGAGGAGGAGGAGTTTGGAGTGAGAGTGAAGGCAGGCAGTTACCTCCGAGTTCATGTGCATCCTAAACGATTCCCCATGTGAGTGAAGCTTGCAGCGAGTAAATCATGTCATATGATTTTGACTTAACAGTTACATTCTTTCATAGTTTGTGAGTGTTTTTTTGTAAATTCTTAGGATGATTTTTGTGTTGATATGGCTATCTATCCCATCCATCTATAACGTTCATTGGATGCAGGTGTTACAGCTTTGACTGGCAAAGATCCGTGATTGTTAACGAGGATGACTATGTGGTGATCGATAAGCCGTACAACGTTCCTGTAAGCCGCTCTCTCACCCATGGCCCTGTCATTCCATCTGTTCGCCCATGCTGTTGTAGGCACTTCTTGAGAGTTTTAAGGTGTTTTTGAGAATTCTCAAAAACACCTTGCAGCATCGTTCGCCCATGCTGTTGTAGGCGCTTCTTGAGAGTTTTCAGAAAACGCCTATAGCATGATGGCACTGCTACTCCTCCTGTTCGCCCTCTATCATGTGCCGCACGATGCCCTGCCATGCTGTTTGCATGCTGTGCAGGTGGGCGGCACAGTGGACAACCTATTGGAGTGTTGCGCCTTCTTTGGACAGCAAGCCGCCGGGCTCAATCGCCCTCTGCAGCTCACCCACCAGCTCGACCTCTGCACGCAGGGCTGGTGGGTGGATGTGTGGGTGGATGGATGTATGGGTGGAGCGGAAGGGCGATGGGTGAGTGAGTGCACCCAGGGCTGGTGGGAGGAATGCACTGAGTGAATGTACCAAGCCGTGGGGCTCAATCGCCCTCTGCAGCTCACCCACCAGCTCCACCTCTGCACGCACGGCTGGTGTGTGGATGGGTGTTTGGGTGATGGTGGGTGGATGGGTGTTTGGGTGATGGTGGGTGGGTGCAGGGCTGGTGAGTGGATGGATGTTTGTTCTTGGGGTGTGATTCGCACATGCATTCCCGGGCCGTCAGGGCCTCTGATTGAGCGTTTAGGTGGTGTGGAATGTGCGAGGGCCTTTTGAGTCCACTAAAAAAACATGCATTCCTGGGGCGTGAGGGCCTCTGACTGGGTGTTTAGGGTGGACGTGGGAGCACCATATGGAATGTGTGAGAGCCCGTACTTTATAACACTCGTACAGCACCATCTTTCCATATTCTCGCTGCTCCCTGCAGCGTGGTCATGGCCAAGAATCGCCAGTTTGTCAGCCGGTTCAATCGCCTGTATGTGCCTTTAATTTAAATACTCCCACAGCACTATCTCTCCATATTCTTGGCACTCCGTGAAGCGTGGTCATGGCCAAGAATCGCCAGTTTGCCAGCCGGTTCAACCAGCTGCTTCAGGTGCCTACCTGATGGCCCTGTAGGTCCGTACCTGATGGCCCTGTAGGTCCGTACCTGATGGCCCTGTAGGTCCGTACCTGATGGCCCTGTAGGTCCGTACTTGCAGAACCAGCACCAGCTCCGCCACCACCACGGCCACCACCATGCTCTCTTCATTCCTATCCTGCAATTGCCTGTGTTCTTATCCTGTGCATTCCAACGTTCCATTATTTACGTTGTTGTTGCGTAGAACGCATGTCCTTCCCCGTAGACCCCCGGTAAGCCTTTCTCCTCCCTTCTTGCTTCTTCTCACCTCTTATTGCCTTTTCTCGCCTCTTCTCCCCGCTTCGTGCCTGTCTTGCCTCCCTCGGCTTGACCCCCCCCTTTTCCAGGATCGCAAGGTTGGCAAGCTGTACAGGGCCCTAGCCGCATCTGCTCCTGTTTTTGAGGCGCCTTAAAAACCCCCTCTGCACGACCCCCTCTGCACGACCCCCTCTGCACGACCCCCTCTGCACGACCCCCTCTGCACGACCCCCTCTGCACGACCCCCTCTGCACGACCCCCCCTTTCCAGGATCGCAAGGTTCGCAAGCTGTACAAGGCCCTAGCCGCCTCTGCTCCTGCTCCGGGCAGGCACATACATTTCATGCTGCCCGACCCGTACTCTCCGAAGATTTTGACACGAGAAGCCATGCCAGACTGGCAGCGCTGCGAGCTCGTGATTCGCCGAGTGGAGGTGGTGCCGTGGCCTGCTGATTCTGCGCTGGCTGCTGCTGACGTGGACTGCTCCTATTGGCCAGCTGCTGACGTGGCATACGAGTGCCTGGTGGAGCTGATTACAGGGAGAACACACCAGGTATGGCGCTCAGCCGATGTGGCATTGGGTGGCATGTGAGGGGTAATAGGGCTTGGCATGTGGGTGATGTGTCATGGTAAGAGAGTGGATGTGCTGATGTTGCAGCTTCAGCTCAAGTGTCTGACTGACAGTACCCCAACTTGTGCATCTTTCCCTTTTCCCCTGTTCCCTGTTCTCCCTATTTCCTTTACTCCCTTTCTGGCCATCCCAGCTGCGAGCGCAGTTTGCAGCGCTGGGCGTGCCTCTTATCGGTGACACCATGTACGGCCCGGCCCAAGCCTGCTTCAGTGCCTGACAATACCCCACCTTGTGTCACTTTCCCTTCCCCCTATTCCTTGTTCTCCCTTCCCAGCTTCGAGCGCAGTTTGCAGCCCTGGGCGTGCCTCTCATCGGTGACACCATGTACGGCCCCTCCCAAGCCCAGCAGGCCGTGCCTATGGTTCTAAAAGCAACCATACCCAGCAACCGAGGTTCAGTTGGTGTGAGGGGGAATGGAGTGGGGATTTCGGGCCAGGAGAGGAGAAAGGAATATGTGGGTGCGGAGGTGCTTTCCCAGGCCAAGCAAATGCTTGGAGCGGAAATTTCTGAGGCGACTAGAAAACAGATTTCGGTGCAGGAGAGGAGAAAGGAATATGTGGATGCGGAGGTGCTTTCCCAGGCGAAGCACCTGTTTGGGGCGGCGCCAGAAGCGGCTATTGGCTTGCAGGCGTTCTCTGTGAGATGGGAGGAGCAGGTGGAAGAAGGCAAGGGGCGAGTGAGAACTGTTTATAAGGAGTATGAGGCTGGTAAACCATGGTGGCGCGAGGGTTAAAGTTTCTGTGTGATCGCAGAAAGGAGATCAGATGAGTACCAGTGTAGCAGGGATCTGATATCACAGCAATCATCTTTCCTTGAGTCCTCACAGTTTTTTTTCTCTCAAGTGTTCGTTCCTCTCTTGTTTCAGAGCTGGGGCCATCCTTTGTCATCCGGGCAATGCCGCGCGCTCGTTCGTAATGTCAACCACCTGGCAAGATGCCAAGAAAGACGTTGGAGAGGAAAGCTGGGGTCCACTAGAAGCAACTATGTACAAAGAATGGACAAGAAGGCAGCAGGTGGATGTGCAAGGGACAGCCATGCCACAGCCCATGACACAACCAGTGCATGCAGAAACCACCCCATACTGCATTACTTTCCCACTTCCTCTAGCCTTCCCACCCAACCGCTTTTCTACTCCTTCCTGACCATGACAGTGTCCTGTACCCCAGCTCCCCCCTCTTCTCTATGCTCCACCTACCCTCACACTCCGAGCACTCCCTCCCTCACCTTCTCTACTCCATGCTCCACCTCCCCGTGTTCCACCTCTCCCATGTTCCACACACCCCTCACCCCCGTAACCCTCCTCCATCAATTCCGCTACTCCATCCTGGCTACAAGGCTGCCCTGCGCTCCCACCTGCATGGTGAGGAAGAGGGGCAGGTTGGTAGACATGCGGGTGACGAGGGCCGATGCCAGCGCTGCCGACACTCGGGTCTGCCCGACCATGGCGTAGGCGCCACCACTGGTAGCCACCCACCCACCGTTCAGCACCGCAATCGGGGAGAGAGAAACCCCAACCGAGGCTCCCATGTTGCCCATCGAGCCTACCACCGAGCCTGCCATGCTCCCCACCGAGCCTACAAGATTCCCCACAGCCCCGCCCACGCCGGAGATGAGGCCAGAGACCGAGCCGCCGAGGTTTGCCGAGGCTCCGAGGTTGGCGTTGACGCCGCCCGAGCCTGCGTTGACAGCAGCCCCGGCGCCGGCTGAAGTGTTGAGGAGAGGGGAGGAGGCACCAAGGGAGGCAGAGCCCGAGAGGGAGCCATTGGGGAGAGACACGCCTACTCCTACTCCCACTCCGGCTGACGTGTTGAGCAGACCGGACGAGGCAGAGAGGCCTCCTGCTGCTGATGCAGTGCCAGTGGGAAGGGAAGCGCCAATGCTGGCGCCAACACCAGCAGACGTGTTGAGCAGCCCCGTGGACGCAGCAACGCCGCCCGTTGCACCGACAGTGCCGTTGGGAAGGGATACCCCGGCCGTGGCTCCTACCCCGGCTGATGTGTTGAGGAGTCCAGTGGAAGCAGCCAGAGAACCGGATCCAGAGACAGAGCCGTTGGGAAGGGAGACGCCAACGGTGGTTCCAACACCAGCGGATGTGTTGAGGAGGGCGGTGGAAGCAGAGAGATCACCCGCTGCAGCGACAGAGCCGTTGGGGAGAGAGACTGCAGCACCAGCGCCCACTCCTGCTGATGTGTTGAGCAGACCTGTGGAGGCAGAGACACCTCCTGCTGTGTTCACCGTTCCGTTGGGAAGAGACGCTCCAAGAGTAGCGCCAACACCCACGGATGTGCCCATGAGTCCAGCAGACGCCAAGACACCTCCTGTTGCATCCACCGTTCCATTGGGAAGAGATGCCCCAACGGTAGCACCAACACCCGCAGAGGTGTTGAGAAGACTGGCTGAGGCTCCAGCAGCAGCGCCCGCGGTGGCGTTGAGGGGATTGGCAGTGAGAGAGCTGCCAAGATGAGCCGAGAGAGCTGGGTTGAGGGAGAGAGAAGCGGTGGTCGCAGTGGTGGTGGAGGAGGAGGAGGGGCAGGGGTTGGTGGTGAGGAGGTGGGGTTTGGAGGAGGGGCGAGTGCCGGCCTGGGTGGTGAGCTTGTATGTAAGGAAGAGAGCCACGCCCCTGGGGTGTGGCAGAGGGAAAGCGCGAGGGAGAGTGGGGGATAAGCGGGAAATGAGTGAGGGGTGATGAATCGAGTTGAGTAAAAGGATTGGCCCCATCATGTCTTTAGCTACGAAGCTGTGTGGTCTTGCGAGTTCCCAGGAGTGCTCGTAAGTTCTCAGGAGTGCTGGAGAGTGCTGAGGGTTGCTCAGGGGTTCTCAGGGGTGTCCAGGGGTGCTTAGCTTATCATGAGTGCCTGTGCGGCTCACCTTCTCACGAGCTCCAGCTGGGCTGACCCCTCCGTCTCGCCAGAGCCACACATCACCAGAGGGCCACTCACTGATGCTGCACGCAGAAGATATGTAAAATCAGGGAAGTGGGAAGTGAGGGCGTTATTGGCGGTGCGGAGGTATGGGAGAATTGGATACCACTCTAAATAATATGAAAACGCCAAATTTATGGAAAAGAGAGAGCGAAGTAGCATAACCCAGATAATGCAGTTGCCATCCACAGTTATACCAATCGGTTCCGAGAAGTTTACTCACCCAAAACTTGCGCTCGCATCCCCAGTCTTATGGCAGATGCGGGGGGAATAATCAGAGCTGTATAGAGGTGAAGCGCAGAAGAAAATCAGCAGAGCATGAGCACAGGTCAGTTCCGTAAAATCTTAGGGACCATATTTGTTGAGTATGCAGCGATTCAAGCAGTGGGCGCATGCGTGCCAGGCAAGACCGAGAATACGCCTCTTACATGAGAGGAGGAGAGCCAGAACTACGGCAGCCTGGATGCGAATGGTTGGCGCAGCCATAGTTGAGCGTGTCTTCACAGGATGAGTAGTAACGAAGTTGCTTTCGGTGTGTTTCAGACAGTAGTTGTGGTAGTAGTTCTTTTAGATTGATCTGCACGGAGCGTGAGAGGAATTGGCGATGTCTCTCTGAGGTGCATTGTTGAAATTTATGTTGTTTGGTTCTAGAAATCCAGCATCGAGCCGCGACATTGGGTGGCGGTGCGGTCGGCTTGGGCTGGCGGAAGGACGGACACGTGTCGATGAAATGACACATCGTAGGGGCAGGTGCTCCCGTGCTCGCGAGAGTTCGCTAGTGTAAATGCGAATTCACGACACTGCTTTTGCTGTTTCGTCAATTCGTTCGTTGGAAGATTTCATGCGAAGGATTTTGTCGGAGGGGTGGCTGAAGTGACGGAATGGGGGGTAGGTGCCTGTCGGTTCGTCGGGATTCGCTTGTAACAACCTGGTCCCGCGAAGACCTAGGGGAATATTCACTAGGAACCACACCGCATTATGGCATTAGAGGAACAGAAAAACCCGATTTGAACTCAAAACCAAAATTGCCATATTCCGCTCAAATTGGAACTGGCGTGTAACTTTGATTGTTTGATATTCGCATTGGCAGCTTTCGCCAGTGTCCCTATTTCATAAATTCAGTTTATTTTTGTCAATTCCAGGAGAAATTAATAGGTACTGGGAAAATGAGAAACATAAATAATTGTATGGGTTGGTTGTAAGTGTTGGAGATAGGATAATGCTAGTATAGTGTGTCATATTGTTAGGTTATAGTACACAATTGCATCTTCTGACACGTCACCTTTCCCCATATCGATCAGCCAATCCGCGGCTCCCGTGCTTGGGTATGACAGAGATCTGCCCGTGTTCATTGAGGAAGCGCGTGCCTGGCGGAACATTCTGTAGGGAATTGCACGCCACGGGAGGAGGCCGTTGTGGAGAGAGCGGAGATCCTTCAGGAAGCTCTTATCGTGTGCGGGAACAAGTTCACACCCGCTCCATTGCGCCTTCCGCTTGCGCGAGCGACTCAACTCCTGCGCCTGTGTACAGAGCAGATTCAGCAAAGATATCATGAACTCAAGGTCTTGGGTTTGTCGTCACCAGGAATGTCGCTGGACTAGTTTTAGGAACCCCCGGAATTTCCTAACCTGTCATCGTTGAGATATTTCAATAGAACCTTACCAGCAGAAGTAAGGATCAAACTGCTGGTGCGTAGCGGAGACTTATCAGACCAGCGCACAGCTCCGCAAGCTGCCATTTCGCGTGATCCAGCTTTTATTAATCCACGTTCCTAGCCTTTGTAAGCGATCCTGCAATGCCGTACGTACCACCTCATTTACGCAACTCGGCGGGTGGATCGGCTGGAGGTTCCGCTCCCCCGTCATCCTCCCAAGGAGGCCGATCCGATCCTCCAGGCCGCTACGGCGATCGGAACGACTATGGCAGCTTCGGTTCTAGAAGCTACGGCTCTCGAGATAGAGACGATCGGAGGGATAGAGATGACAGAGGCAGCAGGGACGGTGGCAACAGGGACGGTGGCAGCAGCAGCTTCGGCAGCAGCCGTCGGCCTGTAGAGAGCCGGGGAAGCGGCCCTTCAGAGCCGGTCTGCCCGGCATGGAAGCCGTCGGACCGCGTGATCCGCTTGCAAGAAGATCAGGTTAGCTTCCGATCCGTTAAGATATGTCTAATCCGGCATAAAGAGATGTCAGTTCTGGCGTTAAGAAAGGTCAGTCCCGGATAAATACTGTCTGACGTTGTCGTCCGGATGCAAGAATCCCGTATCTCCTAACGTCTACGTAAATGACGGTCTTTGATAGAATCGTCTGACTGTGAACCGTTTGCGACTGGATCAGGGTATCTTCTGATTTCTTCAAATATGAGAGTCCTGGATATATGGCGTCTGACCGTGCAGTATGTCATCCGCATGCAAGGAGATCAGGTCTGCTACTCGATTCCTTCAGATCGGTAGTCCGGGAGATTAGCCATGTAACCGCTTGCTATGTCCTCGTGATATGTCGTCCGCTTGCGTCTGTTCAACGCGAAACACGTGAGACTTTTCTGGTTACATCAATACCATCATGTTACGGGCATAGTTCTTATGCTACGTCACTCGTGTTGCTTAATCAGGCTCGTGATGCCAAGTTGGAAGGTTGTGTCAATGGTTCATGATATGCGTCGTAGTAGCGCCATTCTTCAGCCTTGACAGAAGCGACAGTATATCTTGGAATTCTTAAGTTTGGGGTTATGCGGTCTCGGAATTTGTAGGTTCACGGTTTCCGTCTTCTGGTCCGTCTACGTCGACGTTTGAGTAGATTGGAAAGCCATACCAATACATCCTTGTTGGTCACGTCAGTAGTAAGCTTCTAGTGCTGTTGTTTTGTGATTGATCTGGCATTATCCCGACACTGAATGAATGCCATCGTTCTAACGCTGAACGACAGTGAATGACGCTGGATGGCTTTCATTGACATTGAATGGCATTGACTGACACTGAATGACATTGCATGGGTACCGTCTTGTTCTGAATGTCACCGAATTGCACCAACTGACACTCGATGGCATTGACTGACACTGAATGACACCGTATGGTTCCGAGTGACTCTGAATGTCACCGAAAAAATCAGTTTGACACTGAATGCTATTGCTCAACACTTCTCACTCTGCATGGTACTGACTGTCTCTGAATGTTTTTGAATTGTTCATTAAAATGACACTGAATGACATTCCCCTGCTGCAGATCGCTGAGGTCCGCGCGCGACTGAACGTGACAGTGGAAGTGACGCCTGGCACGGGCGTTGCACCAGCCCCGGTGGAGTCGTTTGACGACATGGTGAGCTCTTTTACGTTCAATTAGTACTTGTATGCATTCCCCTGCGTTCAAAAAGTGTTGTAGTTCCAAGTGTTCGATTTGACGGCTTGTGGTACATCAGGTGCATCGGTGGTGCGTCTGTGGTGCATCTGCAGTGCATCGGTGGTGCATCTGTGGTGCATCTGCAGTGCATCGGTGGTGCATCTGCAGTGCATCTGCAGTGCATCTGCTGCTTGTGAAGCTTGTGCTGTTGTATGGCAACCGATGTTGACCAATGTGCTTCCTTATTATTAGATTAGGTGGAATCACACCCATACACATCCACATTCGTGAAACCTCATTCTTTTCCTCCTCCCTCGTTCTGCCCTTCTCCCCCTCTCTTCCTCTCCCTCACTTACTTACAGGACCTGCACCCGAACATCTCAAAGGACATTGTCTACCACAGCTACACCAGCCCCACGCCCATTATTAACATCCCGCCTCCCTTGTCTTCCTCCCTCTCTCCCCGCCCCCCGTTTCCACCCCTTCAGGGCCTGCACCCGAACATATCAAAGGACATCGTGTACCACAGCTACACCAACCCCACGCCCATTCAGGCGCAGGCCATGCCCATTGCGCTCTCCAACCGCGACCTCCTCGGCTGTGCTGAAACCGGCAGTGGCAAGACCGCCGCCTTCGCCATCCCCATGATCCAAGTACGATCCATTTAGAGGTGTTTTCAAAACCATTCAAGCACTCAAGGGCCATTGTCTCCTCGCTCCTTCTCTCCTTCCCCTGTTCTCTCCATCCCCATAGTTCAGAAAAGCTCTCTGGCCCTGAATCCCCCCTCATCCCTGTCACCGCATCCACCATCCAACATGCTGTCTTGCTCGTAGGAGAATCATAACAGAAGAATCCAATTCGAGATGCCTTACACAGGCGCTTTCACCCTTTCTCGCCGGCTCCTGCATGTCTTCCATCCAACTTCCCTTCCCATCTGCCTCAAGACACCTATTCTTGTTCCTCCTATTTTCCCCTCCAACCACCCCTCACGCCTGGCCGCAGCACTGCCTGCATCAAGCCCCGCTGCGGCCGGGCGATGGGCCTCTGGCGCTCGTGCTGGCGCCCACCCGCGAGCCGCCCACCCGCAAGCTGACCACTCGAAATTCACCTCCTTCCTCTCTACCCCGCCTCAACCCCTCCCTCCGCCCCTCGCGCCCTCCCACAGCACTGCCTGCATCAAGCCCCTCTGCGGCCGGGCGATGGGCCTCTGGCGCTCGTGCTGGCGCCCACCCGCGAGCTGGCGCAGCAGATTGAGAAGGAGGTGAGGCATGTCCTGAGTCGAGAGGCATGAAATTCTGAATGATTGTCTGAATTATGTTCTCACATAATTTCTTGTGTGAATTGTGATTGTCTGTTCATGGTGTAGCGTGCAGTTGGCGGTTGTCTCTTCTGCCACCCACTTACTCACACGGTCCACCACTTCTAGGTCCCTAGGGTGGAAGCCCTTGTATATTTCTTGCTGCTCTCTATTTCTCAAACCCCAAACCCCTTTAAACCCCAAACCCCTTCAAACCGAAAATTGCAGGTGAAAGCGTTCAGCCTGTCATCGGATGGGTTCAAGACGGCCATCATAGTGGGCGGCACGCACATGAGCGAGTTGCTGCGAGGGGAAGTGCAGGTGGTGGTGGCTACAACCACCATCCCCATACCCACGCCCTATCGCTCTTGCGGCTCTTTCCCCAACCCCTCCTATATCCTCACCGCAGGTGAAAGCGTTCAGCCTGTCATCGGATGGGTTCAAGACAGCGATCATAGTGGGCGGCACGCACATGAGTGAGCAGCGGTCGGTGCTGCGAGGGGGCGTGCAGGTGGTGGTGGCGACGCCAGGGCGATTCATAGACCATCTGCAGCAGGGCAACACGTCGCTCGCACGTGTGTCCTTTGTCGTGCTGGACGAGGCCGACAGGATGCTTGACATGGGATTCGAGCCACAGATGAAGGAGGTGAGAGATACATGAATGAAGTTGGGTTGTTGAGAGAGGACAGTGGTGAAAGGGCGTGCAGGTGGTGGTGGCGACGCCGGGGCGATTCATCGACCATCTGCAGCAGGGCAACCCGTCATTCGCACGTGTGTCATTTGTCGTGCTGGACGAGGCTGACAGGATGCTTGACATGGGGTTCGAACCACAGATGAAGGAGGTGAGGGCTGATGAAGGAGGTGAGGGCTGATGAAGGAGGTGAGGGCTGATGAAGGAGGTGAGGGCTGATGAAGGAGGTGAGGGCTGATGAAGGAGGTGAGGGCTGATGAAGGAGGTGAGGGCTGATGAAGGAGGTGAGGGCTGATGAAGGAGGTGAGGGCTGATGAAGGAGGTGAGGGCTGATGAAGGAGGTGAGGGCTGATGAAGGAGGTGAGGGCTGATGAAGGAGGTGAGGGCTGATGAAGGAGGTGAGGGCTGATGAAGGAGGTGAGGGCTGATGAAGGAGGTGAGGGCTGATGAAGGAGGTGAGGGCTGATGAAGGAGGTGAGGGCTGATGAAGGAGGTGAGGGCTGATGAAGGAGGTGAGGGCTGATGAAGGAGGTGAGGGCTGATGAAGGAGGTGAGGGCTGATGAAGGAGGTGAGGGCTGATGAAGGAGGTGAGGGCTGATGAAGGAGGTGAGGGCTGATGAAGGAGGTGAGGGCTGATGAAGGAGGTGAGGGCTGATGAAGGAGGTGAGGGCTGATGAAGGAGGTGAGGGCTGATGAAGGAGGTGAGGGCTGATGAAGGAGGTGAGGGCTGATGAAGGAGGTGAGGGCTGATGAAGGAGGTGAGGGCTGATGAAGGAGGTGAGGGCTGATGAAGGAGGTGAGGGCTGATGAAGGAGGTGAGGGCTGATGAAGGAGGTGAGGGCTGATGAAGGAGGTGAGGGCTGATGAAGGAGGTGAGGGCTGATGAAGGAGGTGAGGGCTGATGAAGGAGGTGAGGGCTGATGAAGGAGGTGAGGGCTGATGAAGGAGGTGAGGGCTGATGAAGGAGGTGAGGGCTGATGAAGGAGGTGAGGGCTGATGAAGGAGGTGAGGGCTGATGAAGGAGGTGAGGGCTGATGAAGGAGGTGAGGGCTGATGAAGGAGGTGAGGGCTGATGAAGGAGGTGAGGGCTGATGAAGGAGGTGAGGGCTGATGAAGGAGGTGAGGGCTGATGAAGGAGGTGAGGGCTGATGAAGGAGGTGAGGGCTGATGAAGGAGGTGAGGGCTGATGAAGGAGGTGAGGGCTGATGAAGGAGGTGAGGGCTGATGAAGGAGGTGAGGGCTGATGAAGGAGGTGAGGGCTGATGAAGGAGGTGAGGGCTGATGAAGGAGGTGAGGGCTGATGAAGGAGGTGAGGGCTGATGAAGGAGGTGAGGGCTGATGAAGGAGGTGAGGGCTGATGAAGGAGGTGAGGGCTGATGAAGGAGGTGAGGGCTGATGAAGGAGGTGAGGGCTGATGAAGGAGGTGAGGGCTGATGAAGGAGGTGAGGGCTGATGAAGGAGGTGAGGGCTGATGAAGGAGGTGAGGGCTGATGAAGGAGGTGAGGGCTGATGAAGGAGGTGAGGGCTGATGAAGGAGGTGAGGGCTGATGAAGGAGGTGAGGGCTGATGAAGGAGGTGAGGGCTGATGAAGGAGGTGAGGGCTGATGAAGGAGGTGAGGGCTGATGAAGGAGGTGAGGGCTGATGAAGGAGGTGAGGGCTGATGAAGGAGGTGAGGGCTGATGAAGGAGGTGAGGGCTGATGAAGGAGGTGAGGGCTGATGAAGGAGGTGAGGGCTGATGAAGGAGGTGAGGGCTGATGAAGGAGGTGAGGGCTGATGAAGGAGGTGAGGGCTGATGAAGGAGGTGAGGGCTGATGAAGGAGGTGAGGGCTGATGAAGGAGGTGAGGGCTGATGAAGGAGGTGAGGGCTGATGAAGGAGGTGAGGGCTGATGAAGGAGGTGAGGGCTGATGAAGGAGGTGAGGGCTGATGAAGGAGGTGAGGGCTGATGAAGGAGGTGAGGGCTGATGAAGGAGGTGAGGGCTGATGAAGGAGGTGAGGGCTGATGAAGGAGGTGAGGCTGATGAAGGAGGTGAGGGCTGATGAAGGAGGTGAGGGCTGATGAAGGAGGTGAGGGCTGATGAAGGAGGTGAGGGCTGATGAAGGAGGTGAGGGCTGATGAAGGAGGTGAGGGCTGATGAAGGAGGTGAGGGCTGATGAAGGAGGTGAGGGCTGATGAAGGAGGTGAGGGCTGATGAAGGAGGTGAGGGCTGATGAAGGAGGTGAGGGCTGATGAAGGAGGTGAGGGCTGATGAAGGAGGTGAGGGCTGATGAAGGAGGTGAGGGCTGATGAAGGAGGTGAGGGCTGATGAAGGAGGTGAGGGCTGATGAAGGAGGTGAGGGCTGATGAAGGAGGTGAGGGCTGATGAAGGAGGTGAGGGCTGATGAAGGAGGTGAGGGCTGATGAAGGAGGTGAGGGCTGATGAAGGAGGTGAGGGCTGATGAAGGAGGTGAGGGCTGATGAAGGAGGTGAGGGCTGATGAAGGAGGTGAGGGCTGATGAAGGAGGTGAGGGCTGATGAAGGAGGTGAGGGCTGATGAAGGAGGTGAGGGCTGATGAAGGAGGTGAGGGCTGATGAAGGAGGTGAGGGCTGATGAAGGAGGTGAGGGCTGATGAAGGAGGTGAGGGCTGATGAAGGAGGTGAGGGCTGATGAAGGAGGTGAGGGCTGATGAAGGAGGTGAGGGCTGATGAAGGAGGTGAGGGCTGATGAAGGAGGTGAGGGCTGATGAAGGAGGTGAGGGCTGATGAAGGAGGTGAGGGCTGATGAAGGAGGTGAGGGCTGATGAAGGAGGTGAGGGCTGATGAAGGAGGTGAGGGCTGATGAAGGAGGTGAGGGCTGATGAAGGAGGTGAGGGCTGATGAAGGAGGTGAGGGCTGATGAAGGAGGTGAGGGCTGATGAAGGAGGTGAGGGCTGATGAAGGAGGTGAGGGCTGATGAAGGAGGTGAGGGCTGATGAAGGAGGTGAGGGCTGATGAAGGAGGTGAGGGCTGATGAAGGAGGTGAGGGCTGATGAAGGAGGTGAGGGCTGATGAAGGAGGTGAGGGCTGATGAAGGAGGTGAGGGCTGATGAAGGAGGTGAGGGCTGATGAAGGAGGTGAGGGCTGATGAAGGAGGTGAGGGCTGATGAAGGAGGTGAGGGCTGATGAAGGAGGTGAGGGCTGATGAAGGAGGTGAGGGCTGATGGAGGAGGTGAGGGCTGATGAAGGAGGTGAGGGCTGATGAAGGAGGTGAGGGCTGATGAAGGAGGTGAGGGCTGATGAAGGAGGTGAGGGCTGATGAAGGAGGTGAGGGCTGATGAAGGAGGTGAGGGCTGATGAAGGAGGTGAGGGCTGATGAAGGAGGTGAGGGCTGATGAAGGAGGTGAGGGCTGATGAAGGAGGTGAGGGCTGATGAAGGAGGTGAGGGCTGATGAAGGAGGTGAGGGCTGATGAAGGAGGTGAGGGCTGATGAAGGAGGTGAGGGCTGATGAAGGAGGTGAGGGCTGATGAAGGAGGTGAGGGCTGATGAAGGAGGTGAGGGCTGATGAAGGAGGTGAGGGCTGATGAAGGAGGTGAGGGCTGATGAAGGAGGTGAGGGCTGATGAAGGAGGTGAGGGCTGATGAAGGAGGTGAGGGCTGATGAAGGAGGTGAGGGCTGATGAAGGAGGTGAGGGCTGATGAAGGAGGTGAGGGCTGATGAAGGAGGTGAGGGCTGATGAAGGAGGTGAGGGCTGATGAAGGAGGTGAGGGCTGATGAAGGAGGTGAGGGCTGATGAAGGAGGTGAGGGCTGATGAAGGAGGTGAGGGCTGATGAAGGAGGTGAGGGCTGATGAAGGAGGTGAGGGCTGATGAAGGAGGTGAGGGCTGATGAAGGAGGTGAGGGCTGATGAAGGAGGTGAGGGCTGATGAAGGAGGTGAGGGCTGATGAAGGAGGTGAGGGCTGATGAAGGAGGTGAGGGCTGATGAAGGAGGTGAGGGCTGATGAAGGAGGTGAGGGCTGATGAAGGAGGTGAGGGCTGATGAAGGAGGTGAGGGCTGATGAAGGAGGTGAGGGCTGATGAAGGAGGTGAGGGCTGATGAAGGAGGTGAGGGCTGATGAAGGAGGTGAGGGCTGATGAAGGAGGTGAGGGCTGATGAAGGAGGTGAGGGCTGATGAAGGAGGTGAGGGCTGATGAAGGAGGTGAGGGCTGATGAAGGAGGTGAGGGCTGATGAAGGAGGTGAGGGCTGATGAAGGAGGTGAGGCTGATGAAGGAGGTGAGGGCTGATGAAGGAGGTGAGGGCTGATGAAGGAGGTGAGGGCTGATGAAGGAGGTGAGGGCTGATGAAGGAGGTGAGGGCTGATGAAGGAGGTGAGGGCTGATGAAGGAGGTGAGGGCTGATGAAGGAGGTGAGGGCTGATGAAGGAGGTGAGGGCTGATGAAGGAGGTGAGGGCTGATGAAGGAGGTGAGGGCTGATGAAGGAGGTGAGGGCTGATGAAGGAGGTGAGGGCTGATGAAGGAGGTGAGGGCTGATGAAGGAGGTGAGGGCTGATGAAGGAGGTGAGGGCTGATGAAGGAGGTGAGGGCTGATGAAGGAGGTGAGGGCTGATGAAGGAGGTGAGGGCTGATGAAGGAGGTGAGGGCTGATGAAGGAGGTGAGGGCTGATGAAGGAGGTGAGGGCTGATGAAGGAGGTGAGGGCTGATGAAGGAGGTGAGGGCTGATGAAGGAGGTGAGGGCTGATGAAGGAGGTGAGGGCTGATGAAGGAGGTGAGGGCTGATGAAGGAGGTGAGGGCTGATGAAGGAGGTGAGGGCTGATGAAGGAGGTGAGGGCTGATGAAGGAGGTGAGGGCTGATGAAGGAGGTGAGGGCTGATGAAGGAGGTGAGGGCTGATGAAGGAGGTGAGGGCTGATGAAGGAGGTGAGGGCTGATGAAGGAGGTGAGGGCTGATGAAGGAGGTGAGGGCTGATGAAGGAGGTGAGAGACGCAGGGGTGAAGGGTGAGTTCTAGAGGGCCAAAAGGGAAGAGTTGAAACGGGGGTACATGTGGTGTGGTGTTGTGAAACGAGGCTGACCACATGCGTGACATGGGGTTTAAGAAACGGATGAAGAAGGTGGTAGTGATTCCATTCCTCTACCCCACATTCCCCAAGCCCTCCTCCCCTCCCCAGATCATGGCGAACCTACCGAAGCAGCACCAGACGCTGCTGTTCTCGGCCACGATGCCGGAGGAGATAGAGGCGCTGGCGCAGGAGTACCTCAAAACGCCCGTGCGCGTCAAGGTGGGGCGCTACACTGCGCCCCTCCTCTCTCCACCACTCTCTCTCACAACCCCGCCTTTCCGCCCTCCCCCTCCCCGCCTCCCCCTTACCCCGCTCTCCCCAGATCATGGCGAACCTACCGAAGCAGCACCAGACGCTGCTGTTCTCAGCGACGATGCCGGAGGAGATAGAGGCGCTGGCGCAGGAGTACCTCCGGACGCCCGTGCGCGTCAAGGTGGGGCGCGTGAGCAGCCCCACTCAGAACGTGACCCAGTCCCTGGAGAAGGTGGCTGAGAAGGACAAGGTGGATCGGCTGCTACAGCTGCTGGTGGAGGAGATGGCTGCTGCAGAGAGCGGGCAGCAGCCGCTGCCACTCACCATCGTGTTCGTGGAGCGCAAGGTGAGCTGCAAAGTCTCGTGGTTAGGCCCCACTCAGAACGTGACCCAGTCGCTGGAGAAGGTGGCCGAGAAGGACAAGGTGCTGCAGCTGCTACAGCTGCTGGTGGAGGAGATGGCTGCTGCAGAGAGCGGGCAGCAGCCGCTGCCCCTCGCCATTGTGTTTGTGAAGCACAAGGTGAGATGCAGGAGCAGCAGCAGCAGCCTAGGAGCAGCCGCTGCCACTCACCATTGTGTTTGTGGAGCGCAAGGTGAGCAGCAGGGGAAGTCATTTTTCGTTCAGTCGTTGAGCTTGCTCTTGTGATGGAGCCCCTCACGGTTAGGGCAGCACGCTGAGAGATAAGGCTGGTGTTGAGTTGAGCCAGGTGCTATGGATCTAGCCTTGGGACGACTCAAAGCCTAGCAGCAGGCGCTGCCACTCGCCATTGTGTTTGTGGAGCGCAAGGTGGGATGCAGGGTCACGTGGTTACACTGAGCACATTGCCTGCTTGCATTGTGTCCCTAGGCTCATTCATCACCCGTCTGTCGATTACCCGCCAAAACAACCTTTCCTGGTGTGCCTCTCCCGTGTTCTCACCCCTTCGCAACCTATCTCACTGTCACCTCATCACAACAACAGGTGAAGTGTGACGAGGTGTGCGAGGCGCTGACAGCACAGGGCCTCAAGACAGCAGCGACTCCTGTTCCTCTGTCACCCTCTCACTCCTTTCCCGCTGTCACCCTTTTACCCGCTGTCACCCTCTCACCCCTTTCCCGGCTGTCACCCTCTCTCCACCTTTCAACAACAGGTGAAGTGTGACGAGGTATGCGAGGCGCTGACAGCGCAGGGCCTCAAGGCAGCAGCAACTGCTGATCCGCTGTCCCCCCTCACCATCTGTCCTGCTGTCTCTCTCTCACCCCTTCCTACTGTCACCTCACAACAACAACAGGTGAAGTGTGACGAGGTGTGTGAGGCACTGACAGCGCAGGGCCTCAAGGCAGCAGCGCTGCATGGGGGGCGCAGCCAGGGGGAGAGAGAGGCCGCGCTGCTGGACTTCCGCAAGAACACCATCAACATCCTCGTGAGTGCCAGGGGGCTGGGTGCTCAAGGCTGGATGGTGGGGGCTGGGCGCTCAGGGCTTTGAGGTTGATCGTGTCACCCTGAGCTGAGCCTTGCTGGACTTTCGGAACAAACGCCAATAGGATGCATGCGGGTGCTGAGCGTTTGAGTGCTTATGCCAACCACGTGTTCATCCATGCAGGTGGCAACGGACGTGGCATCGAGAGGGCTGGACGTGTCGGGAGTGGCTCTGGTCGTCAACATGGACCTCCCCAAGGTGACCCTTGCATCCCCTCCCCACTGCTGCATGCATCATGTTCCATGTTCCATGCCCCATGCCCATTGCCTCATGCCTCATGGCCCATGCCCCTTGCGCCATGCCCATTGCGTTATGCCCATTGCCCCATGCCCATTGCCCCATGCCCATTGCCCCATGCCCATTGCCCCATGCCCATTGCCCCATGCCCATTGCCCCATGCCCATTGCCCCATGCCCATTGCGCCATGCCCATTGCCCCATGCCCATTGCCCCATGCCCATTGCGCCATGCCCATTGCGTTATGCCCATTGCCCCATGCCCATTGCCCCATGCCCATTGCGCCATGCCCATTGCCCCATGCCCATTGCCCCATGCCCCTTGCGCCATGCCCCTTGCGCCATGCCCCTTGCGCCATGCCCCATGCACCATGCATCATGTGTCAAGATAGCCTAATAGGCTTAGAACTTAGGAGATAAGAGATGACATGAGTAGTGAGAGGTTTGGCCAAAGAAGAGGGCTTCAATATGGAGAGAGATACAAGATATAGGAAAGGTGGCAAAGGGGGGGTATACCACCAAGGGACTACACTACTAACTATACATGCAATTATATAAGAATACTATATTCTAACATCCCCCCTTCATTGCATGAAGTCTAGTTGGTGTAGGGGCGCTCAACCCTAAGCGCATCAATCACCGTGCCGCAGCTGGGCCCTTCGGTAGGATACCCGCCTGCGGTCTAACCCCCAGAGTGGATGCCCGGTGAGCGCGACGAGGGGCGACCACGTCCAGATACGACGAATAGAAAACAGCACGACACGCCCAGATCTCTCTCTCTCTCTCGAACGGTCCATTGTATTAGTATCACCAGGGTACACACAAGGTAGGGCCACATCTACACATAGCCAAGCTAGCAGCAGATCTCCACAATCTAGCACCGCTAGGAACCGTTTCCCCTTCCGGCTCTAGTAGCCGGAGGGGTCTTCAATTAGTTGGTACAGTTGGCCCTCGCTCAGTGGGGTAAGAGGGCCCTGCAAGCCGAGCACATCCGCCGTAAGGGCCTCATGGGTCTTAACCCTGAGGGCATTGGCCTGGGCTCTCTGCAGAGTCACGCTCCATCGCTGCCGGTATTCGGTAAGGAGCTTGGCAACCTCCCTCGACTTCGGAGCGGCGTTGAACCGCCGCTTGCCCGCTAGCTCTGCGCAGCTGCGGATGAAGTCGAGGACTCCCGGTGAGGGGTAGCCGTATGTCTCAACTGCCACGGCGTAAAAGCCAACCCAAGCGCTCCGCCCGGTGTATTTGCTCTCCTTTTTGTCCGCCTGCATCCTTGCTGCCCATCCGGGCGCCTTACGGGCCTGCTCGTCTTGGTGGGAGACGGGGTCAGTGACTGTGATGTCACAAATCCAGACCTCACCAGTGTCGGGATGGCGGATAGAGATATCCGCTTTGAGGTTGTCGACTGGTGAGTATGCCGTCGTTTCCTTGTGCACTGTGAAGCCCGCTTCAGCTGCTATCTTTGCGCACTCGTCCCGCAGAGCATGGTGAGTGGCTATTCGCCCCCCCCCTTTCTCACACCGCATCAGGTGGTTAGGCAAGCGGTCGTCAGGGAAGGTGGTTCGGTATCTGCAGTTGCAGCGTCTTGGCACAGGTAAGGGCAGGCCCAAGCGGAAGGAGGCTGCCGAGGAGAACTGGGAGGGCCCGAGGCGTAGGGAAGGGATTAGAGGGACAGCGTGTAACCAGTCCCCTGCCCCCGGGCCTAGGAGGGACTGAAGCCTCTGCGTATGGCCCGACAGCGGGTTCGGCTCCATGGCCCGCGAGCTATCCAGTAGCCCAATGTAGAGGGCAGTGTGTACCGCGAGGGAGAGTGCCTGTTGGAGCTTGGGCCCGTTCGGCTTTTGCCTCCCCGCTTGGAGAGCCTCGGTCCCATCAGGCGGCAGCTCGGCTTCCAAAGCTGCGAGGCGTCTCGGGAGGAGGGAGGTGGACTCCTCGTCGGCATCCATCAGCGGCAGGAGTCCTGTGAGGGCCGGGTTTGCTGAATCGCCGAAGGAGCGCAGCAGGTGGGCGGCGGAGACAACTGAGGCCAGGTAGGCAAATCCCCCCTCTACTGCAGGGTTTGTGATGCCGAGGCCTCCAAGGGACGCGGGCAGGGCGGCCTGCTGCCAGATTCTGTCCCTCTCTGCTCGATCTCTGGGGATCTTTGTGTGTGCGGCAGCCAGGTAGGTGTGGAGCAGCCCTTCCCCCCAGGCGGACCACTCCCCAAGGGGAAGGGCCTCGGTTGGTGTGGTTCTGACCAGGAACGAGGCACGGCGGCTCACACAGCGGGTGAGCAGAAGGAGGCATAGTTGGGGGTCCATCTGTGAGAGGAGTGGGAGCGGCTCTGCTGCTGTGGAAAGTCGTTCGCGCACTCGAGCAGCACAGCCCAAGGGCGGCCCAATGGGGCTGCCTAAGATGCGGACCCCGTCCGGGGAGATATTGATTCCCGGGGGTAGGGTGGCGGGGTCCAGGGCTACGGCGGACCAAGCTTCGCATTTCGCTGGATTGTGGGACAAGCCGTGGGCGAGGAGGGCCTCAGTGAGGTGAGCAAAAGCCGCCGTGCAGTTCGCCGCCTCGCCTAACAGGGTGATGTCGTCCGCGTACGCGAGAAGCACCACCTCCGGATGGGCCGCTGCTGTGGCGACGAGGCAAGGGTGGATGCTGGCTGCGAATAGGAGGGGTCCTAGGGGGTCGCCCTGGCACACGCCTCGAGCGCTCTGAAGTGGCTCCGCTCCAAAGTCGTGGTCGAGGTAAAGTGCAGAAGGGCGGCTGTAAGAGAGGCGGACAAGAGGCACGAGGGGGTCGAGGGCCGTGCCCTTCAGTCCCTCGAACACAGCCGCGCGCTCGACTGCGTTGAAGGCGTTTGCCAGGTCGATCTGCAGGGCTGTCGCTCCCGGGAATTCCTCCAGGTAGGTGCGTGCGGAGTGAATCGCTGCTTCGATGCCTCCCGCGATTGCTACTCCAAATTGGAGCGGGGTGAAGTGCTCGCGTGCTGCGGGGGCAGCCAAGAAAAGAGCCGCTTTGGCGATGAGGTGGAGCAGACATTCACCCACGGCTATCGGACTCGTTCCGCCCTGCGGTTTAGAGAAGGCGAGCAATCGCGAAGCTGTGAGGAGGTCTGCTGCCTCCGCGCTTAGTTTTCCTGCGAGCGCCGTGTTGGTGAGTGCATGTAACTGTGCTAAGACGTCGGCGTTCCCGAGTGCCGCGTCTCTCAGGTGCTCGAAGGTGGTTCCTGAGGGCCCGGCACCTACACCGTTCGGGCATTTGGCGAGCAGACGCCTGAAGTCACGGGCTGTGATGGAGGGTACGTTCTCAGAGGCGAAATCGTGCACCCAGGCCGGAATGGCGCGGGAGGCCTCTGGATGTCTGACCATGAGTGCGCTGAGGACTTCAGCGCTCGGGATGCAGACGGGCGTGGCAGTGAGGGACTGGAGGGATTTTGCCAGGTTTCCTCTTTTGGCTAGCCCCTCGGCCCTCGCCAGCTTGCCCGTGGTGTCAGGTACGTGGCGTGGTTGGGGGCTGTTGGCGACAGCATCCGCTGCCTCGTTATACAGGTTACGCCACAGCCCTTGGCGGAATCTCGTCAGTCTGTCGCCCATGCCTCTCCAGTCAGGTTTGCGGGCTGACGAGGAGCGCAGCAGGATTCGCGGGAGGAACAACAGCAGCTTCCAACCAGAAGACGAGTCGGGGTTCTTCGCCAGGTGGAGTAGTGGGGTCAGGAGGCAGATTGCGAAAGATTCGCGAAGTGGGCGGGGTGGGTGGCGGGCGAGGGGTGGCTGTCTGCTATCGCGCAGGGGGCACAGGTCCCAGTTGGCGATGTCAGCGAAGAGGTCCAGGCGGCCAGCTAGGTCGTCAGCGCTGATGATTGGTGCAGGGGTGTCGGGGGTGGTGGTAACCCTAGCGTTGGTGGCGGCTCGGTTTCCCCTCGCGGCCCGATTTCGAGGGGTTTGAATTGCAGATGCGGTTCGGCCCCCAGTTGGGATTTCGCCTACTCATTGGGCTGGGGTAGTCTCATCTCCATCTGTCGAGGGATTCGAACTCCCCTCCCTTTCGAGGATAAAGGAGGGGTCACCCGCTGAGTCATTCCCAGAATCGTCACCGAGTGTCACTCCTCCCTCCCTAGCTCTCCGCCGCAGGGCCCGCTGTGCTGTTCTGGCGAAGCTATTTGCGCCTCTTCTCTGGTTCGTGGCGCCGCGCCCACGTCCGCGGCGGTTGGTGCCACGTCCCACGCGGATTCCCCGCGTGTCCCTAGTTCTTGTGGCCCCCGCGCGTCGTGTTGGGGGGTCGGCTGCGACGTCACTTTCTCGTTGACGGAGCGCTGGCGTCGGCAGCCGTGGCATCGGGCGTAATGGATCCGACCACTGGTCGCGATCCTGCGCTGGAGGGTACGGCGGAGAGCGCCCATCAGGAGCTGGAGCCTGCTGGTCCTCGTACACGTCTCCCCGCCCGTCCCTCCGCGAGTGAGCCCTATCGCCGCTTTGAGCGTGGGCTGTCCCTGCCTCTTCGGGGGGTCCTGCGGCCCACCTCGCCGGAGTACTCGTGGGCCCCGGATAGGGTCGCGTCGAACCGCCTCGCCGGACCGCCGAATCCGGGGTGCGGGCGTTCCCCGCCGCGTCAGTCTCCGCTGCAGCGATCTCCTCGTCGCCGTTCTCCTGAGCGCCGTAACCCTCCTCGTCACGGAGCGGGAGCCCAGCGATCTCCCGCGCGCCATCGCTCCCCCCCGCACCACTCTCCTCAGCGTCATCCAGATGGGCGCGGAGGTCAGAATAGGCGATCGCCGCGAGCGCGATCCCCCGCGCGACGCTCTCCGCGGCGATCTCCGGCGAGGCGGGGGAGGGGATCGCCTGGGCGCCGCTGGGATTCTGCTCGCCGCGAGCCGTCCTCGCCACGTCCGCAGTCGGCAGGGTCTGGGGGTCGTCGCGGTCGGCGGAATGGCCCTGGGCGCAGCGGTAACAGCCGCGGTCAGGACTCCGCTGTCGAGCAGGCAGTGAACGTGCTGACAGCGGCGGTGCGGCAGGCGCGGGCGGGAGGGGAGCTGGCTCACGTACATATCGCCGTAACTCAAGGCCCTCCCGTCGCCCCGGCTCCTGCCCCGGCGGATCCCATGCGCGTACCGACATTGAGCGATTTTCTGCCTGCGAGAGGAGGGAGGGCGTCGTTCCGCACCCCTCGACAGGCCTCGGGCTTCTCCGCTCCGCAATTCCCGCTTGGCCGAGCCCCTGGCCAGGTGGCGGCGTTTCCGCGCGAAGCTCCGACTGCACCTCCCCCCACCCGCGCGGGGAGAGATCCCATGCTGACCATGTGCCGCTTGTTGAGTCTGGCGGAGGCGTGCGAGGGGGTGGCGAGTTTGCAGATGTCGGTGTGTGGGGCCATGCGGAACACTCCGAGCAGTTACGCTCCAGGTCCCCGAGGATCGTGCGTTTCTTGGGCAGAAGCTCTCGTCCCGCTCTTGGCGCCCGTGTCGGAAGCGCCCGCCGGGGTAGCGCCCTTAGCGCGTACTTTCCCCCGCCACGCGCTTGATCTTGTTGGGGCTGCTCGTGACGGGACCCCGGTAGAGACCCTTCACTCGTCGGCGCAGCTCCTCCTTGCAGTGTCGGCGTGCATGCGCTCGATGCTTGAGGTGGAGGGGGCAGAGCCGTACACGATGTAGGCTTCCGCCGCGCGTAGTACTGCATGTCGCACCTCTAGTTAGGTCCCTGCTCTACTGCATGTGTTGCTTGTGTGCATCCATTGGATACTTGCTTTCGCTCGTGTGTCTTGCCACCCGAAGCGCGCGGCCGTAGGCAAGGGAGGATGAGGGCAGAGGGAAGAGGCTGAGGGAAGAGGCTAAGGGTTCCCTCTCTCTCTCTCTCTCTCTCTCTCTCTCTCGCTCTCTCAAACGAGCCGCCGAAAAAGGAACACACCCGAAATAATGAAAGAAGCAAGGCACTAGCAGCCTTTATGTAGGCAAGGTAGGATGAGGGCAGAGGGAAGAGGCTGAGGGAAGAGGCTAAGGGTTCCCTCTCTCTCTCTCTCTCTCTCTCTCTCTCTCTCTCTCTCTCTCTCTCTCTCTCTCTCTCTCTCTCTCTCTCTCTCTCTCTTTCTCTCCACCCCCTTAACCTCTCTCTTCCTCCCTTAACCTCTCTCCTCCCCCCCCCACAGCAACAAGTGCTGCAGGGAGAGAGGAAGAGGGAGGGGAGGGACGGGCTGCAGGCTGCTCACACCCGACATCATGCACCATGCCCCATGCACCATGCATCATGCCACACAGAGGTGATGAGCTTGTCTCACATTATTCTTTATTTCCTCCCCTGCCTCCCCTCACAGGCACTAGAGGACTATGTGCACCGCATCGGGCGAACAGGGCGAGCAGGGGCGTCTGGGCGAGCTCTGTCGTTCTACACCGATAGGGATGCGGTGAGATGGGGTGCATGGTGATGGTTGCATGGTGATGGGCGCATGGTGATGGGCGCATGGTGATGGGCGCATGGTGATGGGCGCATGGTGATGGGCACATGGTGATGGGGGGCATGGTGGGGTATTGAGAATGTGTCTTGCATGCAGCCTCCTGTTCTAGCACAAGCACATTCTCTTATGCATGTCATACACTCGTCTTTTTCGTTTGCCGGATTCACAACAGTCCATGAAATCTCAGAAGCGGTTTTCTTTTGTTCTTGCTCTTCAGTTCTTGGTGGCGCAGATCAAGAAAGCGCTATCAGAGGCAGAGGCAGGCAACACAATGGCGTTCGCGACTGGCAAGGTATGGCAACAATGTCGCTCTGCCCTTTCCTGTTTCACTTCTCCATTCTTCTTTCAGTTTCCGGTACCCCGGATCAGTTAGGCATTGTCAGAGGTTGAGGCAGGCAGGTAACACCGTGTTGTTTGCCAGTGGTGAGGTGAGGGATGGTATAAGGCAAGTTAAATATAAGGAAAATGCCTCAATCCCTTTCCCCGCATCCCCCATCTGCCATTGCGTTTTCCCATCTCTCACCTCATTTTTTGCCCTTGTGCCTCATCATCCCACAATTCTCATCCCTTGTCTCTCCCGTCATCTCTCAGGCTGCAAGGAGGAAGGAGAAGGAGGAGGCAGCAGCATTCCGGGAGAATCGGGCATCAACAGTAGCAAATGTGACGATGATAGGGGCTACAGCAGTGAAGATAGTGGATCAGAAGTACAAGCACATGATTGCGGCTCAAGCGGGGCCGGACAAGGTGGAGGGGGCAGCAGATGATGCGTGGGATGATTAGGATATGAGAGTTTTGGTGGACAATTGATAGCAGAAAGTGAGACATTCAAAACGTTTATGTTCAAATTGACAGCTGCTGCCAATGGCAAGCAAATGCGGGCGGAATATGACATTTTTGTTGTGGAGGTTCTTCATTCCAGATTATTGCTATTCAATTATATCATTAGTTGAGTTTCTGACACGCCATAATGTGTTGTAGTCCATGGTGGGTTTTTTTCCTGGATCTTCGCAAGACCAAGTTGTAACAAGGCAATCCCGACGAGCCGACAGGCAACCTACAGCCCCTCCACTCCGTCACTTGAGCCGCCCCTCCGACAAAGCCTCGAGCATGACAGCCGGACGAACGAAATGACGAAATAGCAAAAGCAGTGTCGTGCACTCGCAATGACAAGATCGAGCTTTCGCGACCGTCGAAGCACCTGCCCCTACGGCACCTCCTTCATCGACACGTGTCCTTTCTTCTGCCAGCCCAAGCCGACCGCACCGCCATCCAATGTCGCGGCTCGATGCTGGAAATTCCAGAATCAGGCAGCATAAATTCCAGCACTCCATCCCACCAAGATATCGCCAATTTCTCTCACACTCAATCTAGCACATCAATTCATTCACAACTGCTACCATTCTATAGCGCCTGAAGCACACCCACAAAACCTCGTCATCCCGCAACACACGCTCAACTATGGCTGCGTCCACCATTCGCGTCCAGGCTGCATTTTTTCTTGCACTCCTCCTCTCAGGTACGAGAAATTTTCTTTCTCTTGCATGTCATGCATGGATCCGTCACCTGAAATTCTGGTCCTAAAATTCTACGGAACTGACCTGTGCTCATGCTCTCCTGATTTTCTTCTCCGTTGCGCCTTTTCACCTCGATGCAGCTTTGATTATACCCCCGGCATCTGCGATAAGGCTGGGTATGCGAACGCAAGTTTTGGGTGAGCAAACCTGCTCTCTTGGAACAGTGAGGAATAAACTTTCCAACTAAATGCACTTCTTTGGGTTACAGTTCTGTTCCCAGTGACTCGGATTCAGTATCCCATTTTCCCATGCCTCTTCTCCACCAACAACGCCATCACTTCCTGATTTTTTCATATTGCCCCCCCGTGCAGCATCGGTGGGCGGCCCTCTGGTGATGTGTGGCTCTGGCGAGACGGAGGGGTCAGCTCAGCTGGAGCTCGTGAGACGGTGAGCCGCACAGGCACTCGAGAGCACTCGAACGGCAACCAAATATTTTCCAGAGCCGTAAAGAAGCGCATCACACTCTCTGAAGAAATATGCTTTGTCACTTACCCCAGCAGTATTTCTTGTCACTTCATTTATCCTTCTCGTGCGGCTATATATAGACCTTAGCCCCCCAGCATCGTCCCCCATCGCCATTTTTTTTATCCCTCACTCATCTCCCTCATCCCCGTCCCCCCAACAAACCCTTTCCCTCCGCCACACCACAGGGGCGTGGCTCTCTTCCTCACCTACAGGCTCACCGCCCAGGCTGGCACCCGCCCCTCCTCCAAGCCCCACCTCCTCGCCGCCAACCCCTGCCCCTCCTCCTCCGCCACCACTGCCACCGCCACCTCTCTCTCCCTCGACCCAGCTCTCTCGGCGCATCTTGGCAGCTCTCTCACCGCCAATCCCCTCAACGCCACCGCGGGCGCTGCTGCTGGAGCCTCAGCCAGTCTTCTCAACACCTCCGCGGGTGTTGGTGCCACCGTGGGGGCGTCTCTTCCCAACGGAACGGTGGATGCAGCAGGAGGAGTCTCGGCTTCTACTGGACTCATGGGCACATCTGCTGGTGTTGGCGCTACTCTTGGAGCGTCTCTTCCCAACGGAATGGTGAACACAGCAGGAGGTGTCTCTGCCTCCACCAATCTTCTCAACACATCTGCAGGGGTGGGCGCTGGTGCTGCCGTCTCCCTTCCCAACGGCTCTCTCGCTGCAGCGGGTGATCTCTCTGCTTCCACCGGCCTCCTCAACACATCCGCCGGGGTAGGAGCCACTGCAGGGGTCTCCCTTCCCAATGGCACTGTCGGTGCAACGGGCGGCGTTGCTGCGTCCACGGGGCTGCTCAACACGTCTTCTGGTGTTGGCGCCAGCATTGGAGCTTCCCTTCCCACCGGCACTGCCTCAGCAGCAGGAGGCCTCTCTGCCTCGTCCGGTCTCCTCAACACGTCAGCCGGCATGGGAGCAGGAGTGGGCGTGTCTCTCCCCAATGGCTCCCTCTCGGGCTCTGCCTCCCTTGGTGCCTCCTCCCCTCTCCTCAACACTTCAGCCGGCGCCGGGGCTGCTGTCAACGCAGGCTCGGGCGGCGTCAACGCCAACCTCGGAGCCTCGGCAAACCTCGGCGGCTCGGTCTCTGGCCTCATCTCCGGCGTGGGCGGGGCCGTGGGGAACCTCGTAGGCTCGGCGGGGAACATGGCAGGCTCGGTGGTAGGCACGGTGGGCAACATGGGAGCCTCGGTCGCGGTGTCCCTCTCCCCGATTGCGGTGCTGAACGGTGGGTGGGTGGCTACCAGTGGTGGCGCCTACGCCATGATCGGGCAGACTCGAGTGTCGGCAGTGCTGGCATCGGCCCTCGTGACCCGCATGTCCACCAACATGCCCCTCTTCCTGCAAGTGCGCGTCGGTGCACAGGGCAGCCTTGTGGCTCGCATGAAATAGGTGTGTCTTGAGTCGACTCAAAGCATGAAGTAGGTACCCTCGTGGCTCGCATGAAGTAGTGGGGTTGGCAGAGGCAGGGCAGGGCACGGGGGAGCAGGGGATGGGTGCATATGAGCTGCTCTCTTACGTACGGCTGTGGAGGAGGTACACTTTCTGCTATTGTATATGTCAGGTGGTGTCCAAGTGTTGACGTATGGTATGGTTATCGCCTGGGTCTGGTTTGCTGAAGTGGATGAGCTGCGCTATGTGAGCTTTAGAGGGGATGCATCTTTTGGTGTTGGAGTGACGTTGTGAATCGGGTGAGTGGGGTCTGCAGAAGGGAAGGCAGTTAGGGTCAGGCAAAGGAGGGGATTGAAGACGGTGGGTGTTGGAGCATGGAGGGCATGAGGAGCATGGAGGGCATGAGGAGCATGGAGGGCATGAGGAGCACGGGGCGCATTTGATGGTGGCAGGGAGGACAAGCATGCATGGGAGGGAGCTACAAGTCTCGGTTAATGGCTCTCTCTCACAGCCCAAGCAGGCACTAGGCTAAGCACTCAGTGCTGCTGATGCTAATTCACGCCACTGCTGGCGTTGTTTTCTAGTCTCTGCTTGGGCTGTGAAACTGGGAAGACAGATGCTGTTTTTCTATGCCTTGCATCTTCCTCCCTTGTGAATAAATGCCTTCTAGTGGACCCATCCTTATTTTGCATCTTTACATTTACCTCCTGGCTGAACCAAGTACCTCCTGCCTAACAGAAGCATTTAGTAATACCTCTTGGCTTAAGTGATAATAACCAAGGATGGATGGCGTAACACAAGATAACGAATGAAAGAATAGACCAGTGTAGAAAGTTGCACAGCAGCAGAAGGCACTGAAAATATGGCCCCAGGTTCCAAACGCGATCTAACAAAGAGAAATACATCAGGGAAACCTAGTGAGGCAAGCGGAAGATAAGTACAGGTATGCAGTAACTTTGTAACGGGCTGATACAAGGAAGTATTTACATGTGCCTCCTACACGCCCCAATCCATGCTGCTCTCAAACTTCTGCTTCCCCTTCAAGCTCCCTGCTGCGCAAACACAGGTCAAATAGAGCATAGGGAATATACACACAGGAGGATACGCACTCTGAGCAAGGAAGGGATGTATGCTAGAAATGCAGTCACAGCACAAGAGGAAGGGGCACAGCGCCTCACTCGTAATTCCCTAAATCACCTCACTCACCTCCCCTCTACTCCAGTCACCTCCTCTTTCAGTGGTAACACGCTCCCTGCTGCCAGCCTACACAGGAGCGCTCATGCTCCTCCACCCATTCCATCAACCTGCCACCTCACCTTCAATCACTCACCTCCTGGTCTTTGAGTCAACTAATAAATCTCACCTCCTTTTTCCTTAGCAACACGCTCCATGCTGCCGGCCTGAACATGACTGCTCTTGCTCCTCCCACTCTTTCCATCAACCTGCCCCATGTCCTCCAATCACTCACCTCCTCTCTCAGCAACACACTCCTTGCTGCTGGTCAGCGCACGACTGCTCTTGCTCCCCCCACCCAATCCATCAGCCTGCCTCCTGTCGTTTCCTCCACCTCCACCCCTGCCATAGCCTTTACTTCTGTCCCTATTCCACTCCCCATCCTGCTCTGCATCCCCGCCGTTCCCTCTCCCTCTTCCCCTGTCAGAATCTCTCCTCCTCTTTCCGTGGTTCTCCTCCTCCTCATGGTCGTCCGTATCTCTCTCTTCCTCTCCACTTTCTCCTCCTCCACTCTCCCACTCCCAATCTCTGTCCCTGCCCCTGTCCCTCTCCCTGTCCCTGTCCCTGTCTATGCCACTGTTCCTTCGTCTCTCTCTGCTTCCCTCCCCATCTCTGCATCTCCGCTTACCACCCTCCCACGTCTCCTCTGCACCCACAAACCCCCCTCTATGGTCAACTATATTCAGGATGCCTGCTCCGGGCGAACCCCTGGCCTGCTCCCGAACCTGCCCCCGAGCCTCCATCCGCATGGCTCTTGCTGGTTCGGAAAAGCCCCGGCCAGAAGGTGACTCCTGGGCAGAAAGGCGAGCATGAGGGCTGTGATTGGCTGACGGCTGCCCGGAAAATGCACGTGGTGAACTAAGCTGCCTTGTAACCGCAGGGCTGGTGCTAACAGCGGCTCTGCTAGTTGCCCGTGCAGCTGGGGAGGAGGAGAGCGAGGAGAGTGAGGTGGGTCTGTGCGTGTAAGAGCGGGGGGGGGAGTAGTTGAGAGGTTTCTTCTTGATGTCTGACACTAGGCGTGCCTGCACACTGGAAGGAGAGACGGATGTGAGAATGGGAGGGAGGGAGAAGGCAAAAGCTCATGTTTGAATGGAAGTAATTGTGAATCGGATTCTTGCTGCTTATCTCTATTAGGGCAGACACCCATACTCCGGAATGCAGTACGGCAAGGAAAAAAACAGGGGGGAGGAGGGGAGAAGGGGAGGGGGGGGGGGAGAAGGGGAGGAGGGGAGGGAGGGGAGGAGGTGACAGGTGGGATGAGGGAACAAGGAAGACAACCAATGCATCTGAGAGCATCAAATCAAACAATTGGCTGACTATAATTACTCCCAAAACCCATCCACCATCTAACCAAGGCGCCACGTTCCGCCCACCTGTTGGCACATCCCAGGCGAGCCTCAAAGTATGAAACTATTTCTGAAGCGCCTCACAGATGGACTCTGCCCACCTGTTGGAATATCCCGGGCGAGCCTTCTTGAGCATGGAAATATTTCTGAAGTGCCTCACACATAGACCCGCAACTATTTCTGCAACGCCTCCCACATAGACCCGCCCACCTGTTGGCATATCCCAGGCGAGCCTTCTTGAGCATGGAGCTGCCGGCCTTGTTCGCCCAGGCTGCTGCTTGAGAGGAGGGCCCTGCAGGGGCAGTGTGGAGTGAGGGGGAGTGATAGAGGGACAGAGAGGGTTGAGGGGAGAGATAGAGGGAAAGTGAGGGGTGGGGGAGAGTGAGACGGCGAGGGGTGAGGGGAGCGACAAGCAGGGAAAGCGTGATAGACGACTTATGATTGCAAGACCGCAGCATCAAATTATCAAATAATCAGGGCCACCAGTAATGGCATACCTGATGGCAGATCCAAAAACCGAAGAAAAAAAACACCTGAAGCACCTGATAGCACACCTGAGGAGAACATTCGCCTGCGTGTGACTGAGAGGCGAGGCTTTTCGAGCACCTGCAGCCGCCGCTGCTTTTTCACTGGCGGAAGCAAGACGTGTGGGGGAAGGGACAGCAGGCGAAGGACGAATGGTCGTAAGTGAGAATGAATGAAGAGGACAGACACAAGTTGAAAACAGCAAGCAAACCCTTAGTCTGTTAGTCAGACGAAGCAAAAACAGATGCTGAATGAACACTGACTAGAAAGCAGCTTCTTCTGGCCATAGGAGAGCAATTCCTAATGCCTGAAGAAGGCACTTCTCAGCTTGTGTAACGGCATCTCACCCTCCTCCACGTCCACCCACAACTTTGTACCTTCCTCTGCCCGATAGAGCTTCCTCAACCACAAAACACACTTCAGGAGATTTTTGAGACGTCTCAAAAAACAACTTCGTACCTTCATCTGCCTGGTGATAGAGCTCTTTCAGTCGCGAAACGCACTTCTGCTGCGTGCGATCATCTGCCTGCTGCCGAGCCTGATGTGGGGACGGCAGAGGGAAGGGGGATGGAATGAGATGAAGTGCAGCGAGGAGGGAGAGAGTGGTCTCAGTGGTTCTAAAGCGTGCATGTGGAAAAGTGTGGGAAAGCGGCAGAGTTCTCATGCCAATCACCTGCGCCCAGAACTAAACCTAAGTTTCTGAGGCCTGGAGCTCACATGGTACAGCTGGCGCCACGTGTAAAGTACTTTGGCTTGCTTCATTCTGTCCTGAACCTGCTCCACGCCATCAATGCCGTACCTGCATCATGGGTGATGGGTGATGAGTGATGGGTGATGGTTGAAGGGTCATGGCTTATGGCTCATGGTTGATTGGACATTGTCAGGCTGGGGAGAACATGGAAATGCACGAAAGCGAAGGACGGGGAGGAGGAAAAAAGGCGGAGAGTCTAGGCGTGCACACCTGCGTTCGTAGCACCGCTCCCAGAGGTCGTCTGTGAAAGGGGTGAAGTCACGATCCTGAACAAGAAACCGGAAACAAACAGGGAAAGTGATAGCGGTACTGTCGTTAAAACGGTATAGGGATAGCATCTTGACCTGATTACGTTCAGCTTTCGATCGGCGATTGATCCGCGCTACAATGCTCGAACACAGTACGCAGATGAGGGAGGTCTACAGAACGCAGAAAATAATATGGTCTTTTGAGGTTGACCTTATTTTCGTTCTCAATCCGGTCCAGTTGATCCGCCGTGCAGTATTCAATAATGAGTCGCAGCAGCAACAGGCCCGTAAAAGCAGGAATGAATTCTGCTTCTTATTTTGAGCTGACCTTGTTTTCGTTCTCAATCCGGTCCAGTTGATCCGCTGTGCAGTGTTCGAATACGGGTCGCAGCAGCGACAGATCCATGTCGCCGAGGTCGCCCAGCAGGTCGCGATGGTCGATCAGCGACAACACGCACAGCGTCGCCAGCGACTCCACCACCATTTCGTCGCATGCGAAGGAAAGCGAAGCGGTCCGATGAAGGCAAGCCGAGTTAAAAAGAGGATGAGCAGTCTTATACCGAGGCTAAGCGGTCTAACGATAAAGCGAAGCGGTATCCGTCTGAAACTAAGCCGTCTTACGATGAATCTCGACGATACTCCAGTACTCGATCACTAAACTATGAGGTGTAACCCAATATAATAGGGGATGTCTGAGGCAAACACAGGACGCCGGGAGCTGCGACGAAAGAACCTACGTCGAGAGCGAAACAACGACGCAAAACGTCTTGATGTCTATGAAGCGTCTTTCAAAAACAATATATTGGAATCTTAGTCGGCATGCTGCTGAATCTATTTGTATAACTGCGACCTACTGAAATCCTCCCATGCTCCTAAATCACAATTTTACTCATGATTCTCCTGATTCCAACTAAAGGTGTCTCTTAACTCGATTGCACTCTGATTCTGTCATGAGTTAACTATGGCATGCCTCAGCGGACTGGCCTGGGGAATGCCGAACTCATTATAGCGAACCAACTGAAACAGACCCCTGCCGTCTCCCTGTAAAAGTACTAGTGCTGAGCTGAGAGAGCTTGACTTCTCTCACGCGCGGGAACTGAATTGAACCATGTCAGGTCGCCTGACACTTTCGTCGAGAACTCTGGTAACAAGCAGGTTTTGGTCGCATTGTGTTCTACCTTTCGCTCAGCTCCTAGGTGGGTCATAGAATCAAACCGGGTTTTGCACCTTCTGCCTCAGACAAATATTTCGTCAAGAGAGTTTCGCTTCAACAAGCGAGTTGGCGAAAGCTCAGGAGAAATCACCAAGGCTCCCGTTGGGGAGGGTCGTTCATTGTTCCGAAATGTTGATGTCTGAAACTTGGTCGCATTTCTTCCTACATCTTTTATTTTGCTGACATTTCCTTCTACCTTACCAGTTCTTTTATTTTCCTTCACTGACGTTTCACCACCGCACCATGCGCATTTTTTCTGTTTCCTCGTCTACTTTCTATCTATCCGTTCTCCTCCTCCTCCCTCTGTTCGCGCCGCCATTATTCGCGCACGAATGTCCGTCGTTACAATGCGGAATGATGCGGCGAGGGTACATCTGGGACCACGACGCGTTGGGTAACCTGGACGAGCAGGAGATTAACGACGAGACGCAGAAAGTTCAGGCGTGCGCGATGCTGTGCGCCGCCACGCCGGAGTGCTTCATCTGGCAACTGAGAGTCGTGGAGGAAGGAGGTGAGAAAGATTCTTGCGACGATTTTTGAGGCGCCTCAAAGGTGCAGGCGTGCGCGATGTTGTGCGCCCACGCCGGAGTGCTACATCTGGCAGCTGAGAGTGGTGGAGGAAGGAGGTGAGAAGGATTCACCTAGGTCAAACACAAACACACTGGTCAAACACCCCGATATCGGCTCCCTGGTGAATCACGCCTGCACATTTTTCGTTACTGTCCCTGATTCTTCACAAAGCCACCCTTTCTTGGCACCCTCTGACTTTTGAGTCGACTCAAAAGTCACCTGGTGAAACACCCCGATATCGGCTCCCTGGTGAATCATGCCTGAATCTTCACGCAGCCACCCTTTCTTGGCGCACTCTGCGCCGTTCTGACTAGCTCGCACTAGCTCGCCGTTCGACGTCTGCAAAACAAGGAGACAGGAGGAGCATAGCCCATGCCTGACCAACCCTGCCACCCCCAAATCAGCTCCACACACCTCTTTTCCCTGCTCCCCTTTCATCCTTCACCTGTCCAGCCTTCTGCCGCATGTGGCGGGAGGAGCAGAGTCCGTACCTGGCTGACCCGTCAGACAGTGCCAACCCCATCCAGTACACCCCCCCCCCCCCCCAACGCCTCACCCTCCCAACCCAACGCCCCACCCCACCCTCCAGCTTTTTGTCGCATGTGGCGGGAGGAGCAGAGCCCGTGCCTGGCGGACCCGTCAGACGGTGCCAACCCCATCCACTGCAACCCCCCCCCCAACGCCCCACCCTCCCAACGCCCCACCCCACCCTCCAGCCTTTTGTCGCATGTGGCGGGAGGAGCAGAGCCCATGCCTAGCGGACCCTTCAGACGGCGCCAACCCAATCCATTACAACCCCACACCCCCCTGGAAGGGCGTGTTCGGCTTTGGGGGCGGGTGCAACCGCAGCAAGCGGGGTCGCGGCACTGAGAGCACAGCAGCAGGGCAGGGAGGCGCCGGGGGGAATGTTACAGCGGTGGCAGGAGGGAGGGGAGGGAATGGGAGTGTGGCAAAAGGGGGAAGGGATGGGCGGACGCGGCAGCAGGGGTATGAGGGGAAGCAGCAGGAGCTGGAAGCGCAGCAGCTGGTGCCGCAGGCGCACGCGCAGGGAGCAAGAGGGAGGCTACCAATGCTGACAGTGGAAGGAATGGCTGGGGTGAAAACAGGTATTGGATATGGCATGTGTGTCTGAATGTGCCTGTAAATGGGCTTTTTGTAAGTCGCTGCAGTGATTGCTAGCTGATTGCCCCATTCATTCCCAATCACAAGCTCGACCTGATTCTTGCCCCATTCAATATGTGCTAACCCTTGTGCCTATCCATGTGTCATCCCATCTGCCAGACCCCAATGCCACAGCCGCATGCCCGGATCTCATGTGCAATGTGGCAATCAAAGGTATCTTCTTTGACCATGAGGGGAAGGGCCATCTGGGGGAGAACACAACTGGCCCGGCCAACCGTGCCCACAGCTGCTGGATCATCTGCCGGAAGACCGAGGGCTGTGCGTTTTGGAGTTATCATCGGGAGAAGCCAGAAGGTCAGGAATAACATGAATTAATGTTCTTCGGTACCTCTTCTGTTGAATAAAACCACATTGCATCCTTCATTGCTTGTTTTTGTGTTTTGTATTTTTTTCTCACTGGTTTTATTTTGTCAGGTCATTGTACAATGTGGAGTGAGCAGCAAGACCCCTGCAAGCCTGCAGACCCCAGTGACCCTACAACTGCACGCTACCGGCCCTGGCCAGATAGAGAATACCTTGTTGGCGGGCACTGTAAAGGTGGGGCCACGCCTTTTGGCCATGTAGTGCGTCGCAAAGGCCCTTAGCAGCATATGTATTGAATATAGATTGTTTGTGTATGTTTTGACTGTTGTAACATTACTTGTCGCCTTTCGGTTCGCAGTCTCGCAGTCAACGCTTGTGAAATTTGTGGATACCTTCGCGTCACCTTCGTTGATGCTGCCCTTCAAGGGCTGCGAGCGAAATGAATGTCGTTGTCGTCACGTTTGTCGTCTGTGGCGGGGCTCGCGAATCACGACATCCATTTTGGGAAAAAACGACAAGATCCATCCATCCTAGGACCCCGCACGTCACCGTCGGATCACCGGATGCCGTGTTGCACGCACCGCGCACCGCACGACCCCCAATCGCAAGTGAGCGAAATTGCTCAGGGCCCACCCGTTACTGTACTGGCTCCCCTGACTGGACAGTCACCCCCCCTTCTGCTGCAGCTGCGCGTGCGTCATCCAGCTGCGCCCAGGGGGGAATGAAACTTGAAATCCGCCCCCCAGCTCTGCCCGAGCCAGAGAGAGAAATCCATAAATAGGGGAGCTGGGTTGTAAATTGTTCATAGAATATCCGCTACTTTCGCTACTGATATTTGCCAGCAGAGCAATCCTCGATTCTCCTAGCATATTCGCGAAGTTTCTCGATTAGTCTGACCTTGCAGAGCGCGTCTATTTGTCTACTCCACGCAAAATTATAAAGGAGGACGCTACCCTTTCCACCAATCGACTAGCCTAGTACCACTACTGCTACTAGTACCTGCATTCTTGGGCATTTCTATGCTCTGATATGAGTCTCTCACTATCTCCTCCCAACTCCCTTGGAACGTCGACCCGCCCCCCGCCGCTTGTCTCTCCAAAACGAAAGCTCGCCGAACTTTTAGGCAGAACGAACCATTCGTCACCCCTCCTTTCCACGTCTCCACCACTCCTTTCCAAGTCTCCCTTTCCTTCCACGTCACCGCTCCTTTCCACGTCACCGTTCCCCTCCACGCCTCCATCCACAGCATCCAGCCCGTCGCTGCTCGCGCGCGAGACGTCCTTCGACTCGGAGTCGCCGTTAATGAAGCGACCCTGTGCGCGTAATATCAGCGGGTCGCATCGCGCATCGCCTAGTACTGCCTTCCCAGACAGTCGCGCACTCGCTATTGGCAGCGGTTGCGACACGCCCCCTGTTCTCGTGCTCGAAAGAGAAGGTGAGGAAGACGACGGCATTCCCTCGCCGCATCCGAAGCTAGCAATTCCCAGGCATGGGGCACACTGCTACCGCAATCGCCGTTTCAAGGGCGTGCGACAGCGAAAATGGGGCAAGTGGGTAACCGAGATTCGCGACCCTCGCACGAAGATTCGCGTGTGGCTGGGATCGTACGAAACCGCGGAGGAAGCAGCGCGAGTGTATGATATGGCCGCGCGGATAATAGGGGGAGGCCGCGGAGGCGCCGCCTGCGGAAAGCTCAACTTCCCCGACGAGGCGCATCCCGTCGCCGTTCCGCGCGCCATTGCGGAAACGCTGCTCCGCACGGTCCGCGAAAGCAGAGCCCTGTGCGCTGCAGATGTCGCAGGGGGCGAGCGCCTCGTCGTCGCAGGCGACGCCGCGGACGACGGGGGCGACGCGCGCGACGGCGCGTGCGACCTGCCTGCGAGTTTCTCAAGCGACGTGGTTCGTCTGGAGGCCGTGGGCGACAGCGTGGTAGTGGCGGAGTGCCCCCCTGCGGCGGCAGTTGCGCCGCTTGGAATGATCTCCGGTGACAGGGGGCAGCAGATGGTGCTGCTTGGACCCACTGGCGTTGACAGCGGGACGGAGCAGCCGCAACAGACGCAGCAGACGCAGCAGCAGCGGCCCCTGCAGCAGCAGCACACACAGCAGCAGATGCAGCAGAGTCAGCAATCAAGGCAGCAGCAATGTGGGGGAGTTGGGGACCCTGCAAGGGCACCAACCACAGGCTTCACACTCCACACGCCCTCAGCACTCACTCCCAAGCAGGAGATGCCTGCTATCAGCCTCCAGCCATGGCTGGATCAGAGTGTAAACGCAGCGGCCCCGACGACTCAGTTCCAACCGAGTAATGCTGCGGGAGTGTCCGATCCACTTCTCGGAGGGCTAAACTCGTCTAACATTGATGGTTGCGGTGCTAGTAATGTCAGTAGCAGTCGTCCTGGAAGCGAGATTAAGTGGGAGTTTGAGGGAGGGAAATTGAAGGTCGCAGTTGTGAAGGAGGAGGCGCAGACTATCCCATACCTGGACACCAAAATGCTACTTGACATGAAGCCGAGTGCTCCTGAGAAGCCACGTGGTGCTGAGAGGCCATGTGTCCCCCTGGGTCGATCCGCTCCTTGGGAACTGTCAATTCCTGTGCACCCATCGGCCGGAGGGAGTGGTGCAGATCCCGAGTCTCCCAGAAGCCCTTCCAGCAGCAGCAGCAGCAGCGCCAGCGATTTGTCGTCTGCCGGACACTCCCTTTCTGCTGAGACCTCGGATGTGCTAGATGGTGATCATCATCAGGTCTCCACACTGCCTACAGATGAGAGCCACAGCCTCCCAGCCAGTGCTGATTCTGTACTGGCATGCCAGGCGCAGGTGGACATGCTCGCAGACATCATGAACCTTCTGGATGAGCACTTGCCGGCCAGGCTCACTTCTCTGACGGATTCCGGCAGGTCTGACGGCCAGCTAGACGGCACGCCTGAGGGTGGCGCTGCTGCGCAGGAGGCTATTCTCTGGGCACTGGCACATTCTCAGGGTGCTGCAGCCGGGCGACAATCCCAAGGGGTCGGTGTCCCTGAGGCTGTGGCTTGCCCTGCTGGGTTGTCGTCGGCGCAGGAGGTGTGTGAGGGCGAGGCGGAGCTGGTGAATGTGTCGCCTTGGGGTTTGTCACCAGCAGCAGTTGGGTTCGACCTCTGGAGCTGAATATATCTATTGAAGCGACCTGACGGCATGAGTATCGCGTTTTCTGGTCTGGATTGATCGCTTGCCTCCTAGTTATGTCACAATATGGCCAGCCATCATGATTGCTCGTTGGCATTGCCCCACTATAGCTTTGTATATATGGTAGGGGGGTGTACTAGACGGCAATCATGATGCCTGGCCATGGATAGTTGTTGGTTTTTTAATTCTTCTTCTGAATATCTTTTGCACATTTGTGTACTAGAATGTGTGCGGTATAAATGTTGGCTGTCAAGATTTGAGTGGAGTGGACAATATTCACTATGTTCTTAGTGAAACAAAACTGTACAGAACATGCCTATGAAGGGTGTGTTATTCCCGCATCGTGTAGGATTTGCTGGGTGCTGGTTCAGGCTTCTGATTCTGATTTGCACCTCTGGAAATTAGGTTTCCAGCCTCCTGAGTCTGACAAGATCGATTAGGTTTTTCTCGGTAAGCTCGAGCTCCCTCGTCCATCTAACGGCTAAGCGCATTTCTCGGCTATGACTGACATAACTTCCTAACACCTGACAATCTACAGCCGATGAAACCTGTACCAGTTACTACCTGTTAGGGCGGTCGTCTCTTTAAGTTCCGACGCGAGAGACTTGAAGCGACTTCCACCTCGGAATCCTTCGGTAGTTTTGTGGATTATGTAACTTCTAACATTAGCTACTTATTTCACTTATATCGGCGCAATACTTTTCTTATATCGATTGTTCGCACAACGCGGACATGGAGTCGGGCGCACCTCACACGAACAATTTTCCTTTCCACTCCGCCTCTTTCCCCATGCCGCCGGGAGAACCCCCCCGGTCCTTCCGCCACCCGCCCTCGCGCAACGGCAGCGCAGGCGGCGATATGAGCTCCGAGCCTCCCCCATTCTCGGAACACAGCCCGCACCAGCCCCACCTCCCCCACTACGCGACAAACGTGCGCCAGCCGTCGTCGCTTAGATTCTCCTTTGACAATAAGTGCGCGCTCGGCGCAAGACAGGAAGACTCGGGGGAGGGGCCCGCGGGGAACGCGGAGACTGCGCGGAGAGTAGGCGGAGGAGTTGACGGGGAGGGGGGTTGGGGGGAGGATGGGGAAGCTGCGCAAAGGCGGCACAATAATAGAGGCGCATATCCCGCGCAGGGGTTTGGCGGAAGCTTTGGCGGAAGCGGAGGTCCGCAGCCCGCGGGCCTCTATCAGGCGCAGTTTTATGGCGAGTTCCACCAACAGGGGAACCCGCGCAACCAGAACGGGGGGAACTGGCGGGGAGGGGAAGGCGGGTTGGTGCGGGAGGGTCAGGCGGAAGGACAGGCGGAAGGGCAGGCGGAGAACAGTAAGAGTGTTCCTCCGGGGGGTTGGAGCCCAGGTGAACGAGCAGATTTCGGACCTGTCTCAGGTGATTACTCAGGTGCTCCAACAGGGTATGCCAACAGAGAGCCTTCAGATGCTTATGAGGGACTGAGACAGAATTACCCTTTGGATGGGGCTAGAAGGCGAGTTAACCCTCAGTTTGACCAGGAGATGGGGGAAGAAGACGACGAAGAAGCAGGGGAGGAGGGTGAAGGAGAAGGAGAAGGAGAAGGAGAAGGAGAAGGAGGACAAGAGGAGAGGGATGGGGGTGTTGGTGTGGGGGAGGAGAGGGGGGAAGGCGGGCGAACGGGACCAGGGGGAGAGAGGGAGTGGGACGAGGAGACACATCGGCTACGCAACAGTAGACTCACTGACAACCAGCAAACTGACAATCGACCCACTGGACATCGTCACACTGATCGCACCGACAGCCCATTTCCGTTTCCCTCAGGTGCCGATGCCCACCCTGTCAGCAATCTCCCCCCCAGCAATCTCTTTGGCATGTACCGGTCACTGCTCTCTCAGACGCACCTCCGCGCACAGCAGGAGCAGCAAGGCGCAGGGTCGTTCCGGGATAGCAGTAGGGGGGTTGACGCGACAGCGGGCAGTGCCGGTGCTGGTGATCCTGCCTTTGCTGCTGCTGCTGAAGCTGCCGCCGCTGCTGCTGCTGCCGGCAGTCCATCAGGTGCTGTTGGTGGTGGGGGGGGCAGGGGAGCGAGAGGAGGAGGAGGAGGAGGAGGAGGAGGAGGAGGCGGAGGAGGAGGAGGAGGAGGAGGAGGAGGAGGAGGAGGAGGAGGAGGAGGAGGAGGAGGAGGAGGAGGAGGAGGAGGAGGAGGAAGAGGAGGAAGGATAGGGGTTGGGTTGTATGAGAGAGTAGGAGCTCAGCCTGGGCCGAGCCTGGGCTACGGTGACTCAGCATTCTTCGGATCCGCGTCAGTTTCTGCCCTTCCCGAGCCTCCCTCCACAGCCTCGGGCGAAGCTGCGGATTGGGCGGCAGCTTCGGCTGCTGCAGCAGCACGGCAGGCTTGGGAACACGTGGGCACAGTCCCTGTAGCGACGGGCACTGTTCCTGTAGCTGGAGGGGACAATAGCGAATGGGAGGCGCAGAGCAATAGTAGCAATTCCGCCCCTCCCCCTTTGCCGCCTGGCTATGTGTCTAGTGAAAGCAGAGAAGGGGGCGGAGGGGGAAGAGGGACGGAAGGGCAGGGGGAGGAAGTGGTATGGCGGGGGGAAAGGAGGCTTGGGGGGGAGTCTGGGAGGGAGTTCGGGGGAGTGGGTAGGGTGGGTGGGGCGAGAGGGGAGGAGCGGTCAACATTGAATGATTATGCTATGGTGCCCTCGACAGGAGGGGGAGAGGTGGGAGGAGGAGGCGGTGGGATGGGAAGAGGCGGTGTGCATGGAACTGGTGTAGGCCAGAGGTTTGTGTCTCAGAGCAACAGAGACTTCGCAGCAGCAGAAGCAGCAGCAGCAGCGGCGGCAGCAGCAGCAAGGGCGGCAGCAGAGGAAGCAGCCGTTCCCAATGCCCCTCCCCCAGCAGCAAGCGGCGAGATCAGCAAGTACCAGGAACCTTCGAGCAGCCTGCAGATAAGCGCGGGGAGGAATGGGGGCACAAGAGGAGAGAATGGAGGCATGGGCGCAGAGAATACAGGCCAGCAGCAGAGATTTAGTGTGAGAGGGGGAGCTGGGGGGGATGCGGTAGGCGCAGGGGCAGCGGGGTATGTGGGAGGTGGAGTGAGGATGAGCATGGGTGGAGGGGGGTTCGGTCCGTTTGGGTTGAGACCCAAGAGACCTGAGGTGAGTGGGGACGTTGCTTCTATTTGGCTCAACCGGTGGTTACGACCCCCCACTGCTGCTGGTGGCAGTGGTGGTGTTGGTGCTGCTGCTGGTGCTGGTGGTGTTCAGGAAAATCCGCTGTCGCTCCCTGTGTCGGGTGAATTTCCAGGTGGTGGGTCTGTTTCAGGTAGTGCCAGTCAAGGTGAGCCTCTGCTGTTGGCTCAGGCGCCTGCTTCGAGGGAAGCGAGTCAAAACGGGCAGCAGCAGCAGCAGGGGATGCAGCAGCAGGAGCAGGAGGAGTGGAAGCAGCGGGAACGCGAGCGCCAGCAGGAGTGGCTGCAGCAGCAACAGCGGCAGCAGCAGCAGTGGCAGCTGCAGACCAGCACCTCTGCCGAGCCTCCTCCTGACTCAGAACCCCCCAGGGACTCCGACTTCTCTGCTGCTGGCGGTGGAAATCCCGATGCCAATGCTAGTGGTGTCGATGCTGGTGTTGATGCGGCAGCTGTAGCAGCAGCTGTAGCGGAAGCAGAGGCGGTGAGGCGGCGTTTTGAGAGGGGGCGAGTGGCAATGCAGAGCTGGAAGAGCCGAAGCAGGCCAGCCATTGCTCACACAGCAGCAGGAGGCGCAGGAGGCGCAGGAGAAGGAGCAGCAGCGGGTGGGGTGGTAGGGGAGGGAATGGCACGGGACAGCTCAGCACTGCGAGTGGCTGCGATTGAAAATGACGTGGCGGCTTGGTCTGCCTTGCTGGCAGAGAGGGGTGGAGGCGGAGGAAGAGGAGGGGGAGGAGGAAGAGGGGGAGGGGGAGCAGCAGTGGCAGCAGCGAGTGATGCAGGGAGCAGCGGCAGCCATGACCAGCAGGCACATCAAGCCCTCCAGCAGCATGAGTTGGAGATCCAATCCCACCGAGACCAGCAGCGAGCAACTAGAGGGAGTGCACTGTTCGCCCCACACTCTTCCCTCCACAGCCAACAGAACCCGCACGCTCTCTCCGTCCACCCCCCCTCTCACTCTCACTCTCAATCTCGCTCCTCTGCTACCCGGAGCTTTGGAGGGGCGTCCTCTCACTCGCCTGCTCCTCCCTCCCCACCGGTCAGGGGTGCAGGGCCGGAGGGTCTTGAGAGTGTGGTGGAGGGAGGAGTGGGAGGGGAAAGAGGGGTAAGAGGAGGAGGGGGAGCGAGGGGATTTGGGGCGTTTGGGTCGGGCTTTGGTGGTGTGGGCCGAGGGTCTGGAGGTGGCAGGCTTGGGGCGTCGAGATCAGGAATGGTAGAAGCAGGAAGAGGAAGGGGAGGAGGAGGGGGCCAAGGAGGGAGAGGAGGAGCAGGAGGAGGAGGAGGAGGAGGGAGTGAGGCAGCATCGGGGGGGCCTGTGTTTGTGAACACAAGGCGGACAGAGGAGTATCAAAAGCTACACCAGTCCTCCAGCAATCTCAAACCACCAGGCCACCCTCCTGTCTCTCCGTCCGGATTCGCTGCATTTGGGATGCGGGTTTCTGCAGCTGAGAGCGTCAGCGGCAAGCTCAGGTCGCTCCGAGCCGGAGGGCTAAGTCCGGCAGCGGCAGGTCCGGGAGGAGCCGGAGCCAAGCCGGGTGTTGCGCGTGCAGGTTCGGGGTTCAGCCTTAGTGCAGCAGCAGCTGCGGACGCTCTTACCAGTGCTGCTGCCGCTGCTGCCGCCGCTGCTGGCCTTGGTCCTGCTGGTGCTGCCAGTAACGTTGATGCTGCACGTGCAACTGGTCGCGCCTTGCCTCGTATGGGTAGCGCTGGTGGCGGGGGTGGTGGTGGAGGGGGTGGTGGAGGGGGTGGGTTCACGTGGATTCAGGGAGGGTTTGTGCGGCGAGAAGGCTCAGCTAGCCCCGCTGCTAGTGCTGGTAGCGGCGGTGCAGCGGCTGTAGCGGCTGGTGGTGGTAACAGTGCTGACAGTGGTGGGGGTGGCAACATGGGATACGATTTTGGATACGACATGGGGTAGTGCCCGTGACAAGGGACCAGAAACAAGGCCAGTGATTTGCAGCAGTAACGTCTCCCATTCCCATTGATCATCCAAAGTACATTCAACTTGATACAACGTGCCTAAGAGTCAACCCTGTGCTAGTCACACTGCAGCGGATATCCGCACAGTAGCTGCTCCTCCCTCTGCACCAGCCACCTGACTCTAACTCAAAGCACCTTCCATCAAGTTGAATGAGCTTGCAGCCGGCAGCCCTCTCCCACTTCCGCTCCCCATGTGGTAACACCCCAGCAAACCTCATCTGGCATTGCCCTGATACATTGCTGGGCTGGCAGTGCCGGGGATGAGTGAGATTACTGCAGGAAGGCAACGAGATTCTGGTGCGCGTTGAGGTAGAGGAAGAGGGGTAGAGGAGCGGAAGCGGAGGAGGAGCGGGCGGAGATGCGAGCGAGGAGGGACGATGCAAGGTCAGCAGAGAGGCGAGTCTCTCCCACCATCGCATACACGCTTGCTGCAGCTGCACCAGCAGCACCAATGTTGACTCCAACCTTGGCATCAACTGCAGCCTTCACCCAAGCACCAGGAAGGACAACCAGGGGAGACAGAATCGAAGGCACCGAGCTAAGAGCCGAGCCTGCTGCTTTCCCTGCCGAGCCGGCCACCTTGCCCGCAGTGCCAATCACCGAACCTGCAATGTTGCCCACGGAACCTACCACCGAGCCTGCAGTCTTCCCTGCCGAAACAACCACGCTCCCTACTGCTCCACCTGCGCCAGAGACAACCCCACCAATCCCCGAGATAACACCAGCGGGGTTGAGGTCAAGGTTCACCGAGCCTCCGAGGTTGGCTTGGACACCGCCCGAGCCTGCGTTGACACCGGCACCAACGTCAGCGGAGGTGTTGAGCAGCCCAGAGGAAGCAGCCAGAGAACCAGATCCAGACACAGTGCCGTTGGGAAGGGAGGCTGCCGCACCAGCGCCGGCACGAGCAGATGTGTTGAGCAGACCGGTGGAGGCAGAGAGAGAGCCAGAGCCAGAGAGAGTGGCGTTGGGGAGAGACGCGTGGGCACCACCGCTGGCAGTGGCTGACGTGTTAAGGAGAGCAGTTGAGGCGGCGATAAAGCCTGAGCCTGAAGCAGTGGCTTTGGGGAGGGAGGCGTCAGTGCTGCCCGCAGCAGTGGCTCCGGTGTTGAGGAGGTTTGTGGAGGCTGAGAGACCCCCTGCGGCGGAGAGCGATCCGTCTGTGTTAAGAGCGGTGCCGGCCCCGGCAGTGGTTGATGCAGAGAGGGAGGAGTTGGGGAGAGAGGCAGAGGCGGAGAGAGAGTTAGAGGTGGTAAGGCCGGTGGTGGGGGGGGAGGCATCGGCAGTGGTGGATGCAGAGAGGGAGGAGTTGAGGAGGTTCGTGGTGGTGGTGGTGGTGGTGGTGAGAGAACCAGAGCCGGTGGCTCCTGTGGAGGGAGAGAGGGAGGCGTGCAGTGAGCCGTCTCCGGACAGGGAAGCAGATGCGGCCACAGCAGGCGAGGAGGAGGAAGTGGAGGAGGGAGAGCAGGGGTTACGGGCGACGATGGCTGGGGAGGATGATGGGCGCTGAGTCAAGCCCTGTGCTGTGATCTTGTAGGACAGATACACGGATGCTCCCCTGGAAGATAGAAGGGAGATAGGAGTATGGTATGAGAGGGTAGAGAGTAAGTTTGGATGGGACGCCCTGGTAATGCAACAGCTAGGGCTCATTGTGTTGAAAGGATATACGGTACGTTACAAGACGTGTGATGTGGTATTGCTTTTGTGTCGATGCTTCTGTATCGAGGAAAATTGGTGTACCTGCGGAGAATGCTGATGTCAGCTGTGCCGTCGACATTGGCTCCGATGATGTCAGCACCAACGTGGGCATTGAGTGCAGCACACGTGGTGAGGCCCCCCTGGAGAGATGCTGTGGAAGGAGTGGGAGTGAGAGGAGAGGAACCGTGAACATCTGTCACATTCTAACGTAAAAAGGACCTGCACATGCCAACTGCATTTGCATCTTACAGGGAGAATGTGTGTAGTGCAGTTAGATAAAAAAATGGAGGATGCACAGGCAGAGCGTGCCGAGAAGGGGAAAATCTTTACTGTAGCTTACCCAGAACCTTGGAGCGCACGCCAAGACCAGCACGAGCAGCACGGGCGGAAGAGGGGAGAAGAGCTGCAAAGGGGGCACAAAAAGGTGGAGGCATCATGAGGGAGGGGAGCTCAAGCCATTTGGGATAACGCGAAGGCAACGATAGGGCTTTAAGCGCATCAGAAAACGTATGTACTCAGCACGTTGCTCAACACAGCCCGATTTGGCTGGGAGGGATGCGTGTGAATTGAGGAAGCAGTAAAATGGATGGTGGTGATTTTCAGGATCTGTTTCCTCACCTCCCAGGGCAACAGCGAAGAGGAATGCGAACGCAGCGCGAGGGAAAAAAGAAGCCATCGCGAAGAGCTTGCTTTGGGCGTTCCGCTACGATTCAGGAGGAATGGAAGTCTGAAAATTATAGTTGGGCTTGAAAGCAGCAATCGATTGCTTGGTGAGAAATGTAAGCAGAGAGCAGTGATTGTGGGAGCGCTGGAAGTTGCGATGCCGAGGATGAGGAGAAAATTGCATTTTATCTCAATCAACATTCGCTACGGACCGCGCGTTGGACTCGCGTCGCGACGCGTTCGAGTGGGGCGGTGGTGGGTACGGTTTGGTTGGCTGGGTGGGTCCAATTTGGACTGGCTGTAGGGTAGGCAATGTCGATGTTGACTGTCGTTGACATTGTAATTTGGCAATGCTACAGTAGGGCAGTCAGGATGGGGAATGTGGATGACCATTTGAAATCAGTCAACAACAGCATTATCGCGTCTGCCTGGTGCATTATGCACAACTAGGCGGACACATTATCTTTCATAGGTGTTAAAAAGGCTGAATAAATAGGAAAAAACCGACAGAGAGAGAACACAAATCGACGTAACTATGGTAGAGTCCACCTTATTCCATGCAGACTTCATTCTGCAGAATGCACGAGTGCATTTATTTTGGCCTTTATGAAACCGACTTTGGATCACTTGGTGCCTTTTCCTATCAGCATTCTTCAACTCGCTGTGGTCTTAGCAATGGTCTCAATACCTCCTTCGCAATTACCGCCCACCACAAACAGCCCATCTGCCCTTTGTTGGTATGTGGTGGAGGTGACGTCTGCAGGGTCTGCTGGCTCGCATGGGCTCTGCTCCTTCCTCCACAGCTTGCATCGGCCTGGGATGGGATAGGAGGGGATGGAAATGATGAAACACAAATAAATGAGATGACCTCACAAGAAGGAACTTCTGCAGAATTTAAGTATTGGACCCCAATCTCCTTCTCATGTACCGATAACAATCCACCATCCTTATTCGCTTCTTCCCAATGCTCCAATACCCCCCTTTCCACCATTCCCTACCTTGGATTTGTTGGAAACAACTGACTTAAGCGCCTCTGTCGTGTCGAAACACTAAGACAAGAACGAAGCAGATCGTATCGAGACATCGGTGAGTCAACCCTCGGAGGTTGAACAACTTCTGGAGGTTACGCGAAAGTCAAAGGTCAGCGACCTTTGACCTGACGAAATGTACAGTGCGACAGCAAGGACATATAACAGACCCGTTACAGAGCAGTTACCCGAGTCGGCACTGTAACGAACCGCAACAGCAAAACAATTAAAATAGAACATTTTCATATTCCTTGTAATCATATAAAGGCTTGTATCCTTTTGTTATTATTAACTTACTTTGTTCTCACAAACCAGTACAAGGTGGTTCAACAAGTCTTTATTAAAACGCTTCCGCTACTACATCATCCTACTCTTGAATTCCGTCCTGCAAAGATCCTAAGGGCCAACTCAGCCCAACATGGTATGAGAGCAGTCAGGACAAATTCGACTACAAACAAGATATCTACAACATCGCAAGACATGGCAACGCAGAAGGAGAGAAGCTCCTCTAACGGCTCTCCTGGCACTACTCCTACTCCACCTCCTGCCTCCGGCCTACAGACAGAGGAGGGAACGGCAACAAGACCCAGAGCAACATCTTCGGAAACTCCAGCAAATCAAGCTGCGGCCTTCGATCCAGACATGATGGAGAAGTTCTTCTCCTTCATGTCCTTCTATGAACAACACCAGCAGGGGGCACCTGCACAGTCAAACAACAGCAACAACAACGCAACACCGATGAGCCTCGACGGTTCATCCTACGCACGTGGAAATCAACAGCAACGGCCTACCTTTGCTCCGTATGAGCCCCAGCGTGGCTCCGTCAGCTTTATGCCACACCCGCAGCCTGCATCCGGACAAGAAAAGACACTGGATGCACTTCAAGTTCAGTCGCAGTTCGCGCACGTCTTAAAACTGCAAACGACAAAGCCTTTCGACGGAAAGGACTTCTTTACCTGGTCATTCGAGTTCGAGCTAATGATGGAAGGCGCGCAGATCCTTGGCTTATTCGACGGGTCCCTGCCATATCCAACACACGGCACATTGTACGATAAGCAGCAGTACACGTATCAGTCAATGATGGCGTACACAATACTGCTGAGAAATATCACTCCAAGTCAGCAGCAGAAGATACGGTCTTACAGGGGTTACGGCAACTCTGCAGAGCTCGCGTACAACCACCTGAAGAACCTGTATCAAGCAACAGACAGCGTTAATCAAAGTCGGTTAATGGCACAACTGACGACAGTCGAAATGAAACCAGGCGAAAAAGGGATGGCGTATATCAGCCGTTGTCGCGAATTGCGCGACAAACTCCTTCGATGCGGAGGGTCGATTTCAGAAGACGCCTTCGTCACAGTCATCATTGGTGGCCTCGGTCCTCAGTGGCGCTCCACCCGCGCCATACTCCGAGCGCATGGAAAGATATCAGAAGCAGCACTCTGCGCCGAAATCCATGCTGAACAGCAAGATATGGACCTGCAAGAGGAACGACATAAGAAGAAGGCATCAGTGCCCGAATTTGCATTCCACACTCAACGACGCTACAACAACAACAATCGGCATCAACCGAAATCAGTACCTCCGTTCTGTCACCTTTGCAAGATGTCAGGGCATCCTCGCTCACACTGCCCTAATCGACAACAGTCAGCACCAACGCAGCGGCAGCTTCGGCCTTCAAGCAGTCAAGTTACCTCAACGCAAGCGAGTTCGACTTCTCAAGTACAAGCCTCAACAACATCGACGGGACAACCTGCGCAAGGAACAAGAAACATCGTCAGTTGCATGACACGACTGACCAACTCCTGCATCACAGAGTCACCACCATATTACTCACCTGAAGAGCAAATTGACAACAACACGCCTCGCCGCGAGTCACTTCAACCAAATCCGACGTATGCAGCTATCGCTCAAAGCGAGCCATCCGGAAAAGTTACGTGGTTCTTGGACAGCTGCTGTGGACAGTGCCACCTCGCGCCGAGTCTTGCCCTCTCAGGACGTCACTTTTGACGAGTCCGTCCCCTACTACCGCCTCTTCCCCTACCGCACTGCCCCGCTCCCCCCCCCGCCTCTCTTCCTCGCGCCAGGTGCTGCTGTCGTAGACCCCCTCCCCCCTCAGGGTGCCGCTCCCTCAGGTGTGTCTCAGGTAGACCCGGTTGAGCCTGTTGAGGTAGCTGTCGACTCTCGTCCTGCTGCGGGTGCTGAGCCTGGGGGTGCGGAGCCTGGGGGTGCGGAGCCTGGGGGTGCTGAGCCTGGGGGTGCGGAGCCTGGGGGTGCTGAGCCTGGGGGTGCGGAGCTTGGGGGTACTGAGCCTGGGGGTGCTGAGCCTGGGGGTGCTGAGCCGCAGAGTCCGGAGTCTGGGGGTTCTGAGTCTGGAGGTCCTGAGCCTGAGAGTCCTCCACCTGGAGGAGCCCTCTCCTCGGAGCAGCTGCGTGAGTGGTACTTACAGTACTGCAGCCTCAGGAGAGGTACCTCTGGGGCCAGGCGTACTACTCGGACTGGTGCTAGTGCTTCTCCTCCTAGCCGGGAGCTCCCCTCCCGTGAGCGGATCCGTGAGTGGTACGTGCGCCGCTGCACTCTTCGGAGTGGCGCGCCTGGTGTCGCGGACCCCGCTGCTGCCGTTGGAGCTGCTGCTGGTGCTGAGGACCCGGGCGTTGGAGCTGCTGCTGGTGCTGAGGACCCGGGCGTTGGAGCTGCTGCTGGTACTGCGGACCCGGGTGTTGGAGCTACTGCTGGTTCTGAGCACCCTGGCACTGGTGCTGCTGCTGGTGCTGTGGAGTCGGGCGTTGGAGCTGCTGCTGGTGCTGAGGACCCGGGAGTTGGAGCTGCTGCTGTTGCTGAGGACCCTGGTGCTGGTGTCTCTGCTGGTTCTGGAGTCGCTGCCCGACACCGGCCGTACTTCGTTCCGCTCCTTCAGCAGGTTCTTGGTCTCCCGCCTTCTCCCGGTCCTCCTCCTCCCTTCGAGTGTCCACAGCCTGTCCAGTCACAGTTACAGTTACAGCCCGCCTCCCCACTGCCTGCTCCGTCTCCCTACACTGGTCCTACTGGAGGTCTTGCTGAGCGTCGTGAGCCTGCGTCTCGCCCTGCGTCGCCTATCCGTGCTGCTCGCACTAGTGGTCACAGTTCGCGTCAGCGTCCTCCTCCTGTCCCTGGCACGCACCGGATGTCTCTGCGTCCGTCCACTGCTCCTCTGCGTGCCCCTTTGCCTTCTCCTCCTGAGTCCTCTCTTCCTGCTCTTCCTGACCCGGAGTCGGACTCTCTTCGTGCTGCCAGTCCTACTGTCACGCGTCTCCTTGCTACTGTTGTCACTGACCCTTCCTTTGAGTCCACTGCTGCGTCTGCCCTAGTTACTGAGCTCGTCGACTTTGCTGCTCGCTGTCGTCTAGACTACGCTGCTAGTCTTGTTGCTGAGTCTGAGTCTGTCTGTCCTCCGTCCGTCGGGGGTGAGTGTGCCCTTGGCACGGACGTCCTTGAGGACAGGCAGGAGGAGTTCCAGTGCTTGGCTGCTGCTTCACCTCATCTCGTGTCCGTACTGCTTACCCCTGAGGGAGACCCGGATGCACTTGACATCCCGACTCCGCGCTCTTACGCGGAGGCGATAGAGGGTCCCTACTCTTCTCAGTGGCAGGCAGCTATGGATGCAGAGATGGCTTCCTGGAAGTCCACAGGCACCTACGTTGACGCTGTCCCCCCTCCTGGGGCGAACATTGTCAGTGGCATGTGGATTTTCAGGGTGAAGCGGCCGCCGGGTTCTCCGCCTGTCTTCAAGGCGCGTTACGTGGCTCGTGGCTTCAGTCAGCGGCAGGGAGTTGACTACTTTCAGACCTTCTCTCCCACCCCGAAGATGACCACTCTTCGGGTACTGCTGCACGTAGCTGCTCACCGTGACTACGAGCTACACTCTCTTGACTTCAGCACTGCTTTCCTGCAGGGCAGCCTGCACGAGGAGATCTGGCTGCGCCGCCCACTTGGCTTCACTGGGACT